AGAGAGAGAGAGAGAGAGAGAGAGAGAGAGAGAATCTGAGCTCTAATACTGCTGGAGAGTGCAAAATAAAGATGAATGACAATGTTCACCTGTGTTCGATTTCTTTTTGTTTTGTTTTTACATGTGGTGTTTATTTTTTAAAATTAAGTTGTTGTTCCTTAAGCTGTTGATTACGATAATACTGTAGTTGGTGCCTCTACTGCTGATACTAGTACTGTTGCTGCTAACTGATTTTTTTGGTCCATTCGGATGTAAAATTGAACATAACGTTCTTTACAGTCTGTTCAGGGAGTTGTCCTTCGGATGTGGAGCTGCGGTATGATGTTGAAACACCCCCTTCTCCCTGTCCGGCCCCCTTTCCTTCTTTTTCCCCCCGAAAAGCGGTTCCTCCTTCTGCTCTCACCACGTAACTTCTCGTTTTCTCTCTCCCACCCCCACCCCCGCTCTCTGTCCTCCTCCTCCTCCTTATCTTCCTTGTCCTCTCCCTCCTCCTCCTCCTCGTCCTCTTCCTCCTGCTACTGCTGCTGTTGTTACTACTATTGATGATGATGATGATGATGATGATGATGATGATGATGATGATGATGATGATGATGATGATGATGTTGCTGCTGTCGCTGCTGATGGCGGTGGCTGAATTTTCCCCGTTCTGATTCGCTCACAATGTATACATGCACAGTACATGTATTGAAGTGTAGCTTCATGCATTGAACAACCCATGAAATGACAAATCTGGCAAATAGAGAGTATTAATTTTTTAAATTTAGTGCTGACGTTTTTTGTTTTTTGTTTTTGGTCTCCATTATCAGTGGATGGAACATTCGGAGGCAGGTTTGCCGTACCTTTCGTAATCAGGCGATTCACCGAGTCTCCGTCATTGATTATCGGCAACTCTTTTTCAAAGCACAGTGTGCGAAACCAACACAATCCCGTGCAACTCTTCGGTTTCCTGCTTTACCTCCATGGCTTCTTTTGCAAGTGGAATCAACATCACATTACAACGGCACACGCGGCCAGGCTTCGGAACATGAGCACTCGACAATCAATCGATAGACTTTCTGATTCTGTAAAAAGAGGTGGCCGTTTGCCGATGGCAGAAGGTTTTTCTTTCTTTTTTTTTTCTTTTTTTAATTGTTTGGACGTTTACTTGCTTTTCGTTGACAAATGCCCATACGTGATATTAATAGTCCTATTATACCGTACCTTACTGCTTTTCTAGGTTACGGCTCTTACCCTGGACTACCTCTTTTGTCAGACCGCTGACTTACACCAGTTTTTAAAAACCTCTTTAGTTAATTTTTATATGTTTATTTTGGAAGTTTAAAAAAATAGAATTATCCTCACCCCATATTGATCTATCATCTGTTTGGAGAAATATACGAGGTAAGTCTTCTCACACTAAATAAACAGCAAAAGCATCTAGAATAATAACTATTTCACAGGTAAATTTAACTAATAGGGTGGGCTGATTCACATGAAAAAGAACAACCCTTGACACCTTACGCCACCGAACTCTTTTATTCATTTGCCTGAGTGTTTGCTTTGTTGCTTCATTTAGACCTATTCATTGAGAAGAATTTATGTTAGCCTAATTAAGATGGACCAACAATCGTTCTTCGTAGTAGCCTATTTTGATAATGCGATCGATTTTCGGAGCTGATTTTTTTTTCTCATTCTGTGATCAGCGTACAGAGTTGGAAAAATGTATGCGTTAATAAATTATTCATTTGAAAAGAGGATCATTAAGGCTTGCCTCTCCCAAGGGCAAAAAGTGAAGTCCCCGTGTCTATGAGTGTGATTAAACAGAGATAAACAATCAAAACCTCAACGACCTCATGGACCAATGTTTGCAATAGCCACAAATTAATAGTCCTGTAGGCTTACCTCCCGCCCCCATCCCCCCCCCCCTTTTGGATTAAGGCAATCCATGGGTTAATTAGGCATCAATAATATTTTCTTTTCTGGTGGTAGATGATCTGAACAAAAATATTTTGATCGATATCCAATTAATTAATAGTGCTAGGCTATGCATAAAAACAGCTAAAACTGAAAACTAGCTCCAATCACGACATTCCATCGCAGCTCATTTTCATTTTTTTTTAAGGGAGGGGGTGGGGGGGCTCTCGTGGCCTAGAGGTTAATGTGTTCCCCTCTCATTCAATAGGTCCCGGTTCGTATCCGGATAGCCATTGAACATTTTCATCCATAAAATTTTCTCCTTTCACATCCTTTCCTGCTCTCGATTTTCTGTTGTCTGCTTTCGTCTCCACTTTCTGCCCCCTCCTATGGACTCCTGGCTCTTTCTGCAACCTTTCTACTGCTTAATCTCCTTGGCCTCTTCTTACTGCCTTCTTTCAGCCACACCCCTGATCTTATGGCAGGTAAGATCTACATCTAGCCTTCTCGGACAAGGGCTAAAAAATTCGGAGGTCCCGTGTGCACGTTTCGCACGTTAAAGATCCCTTGGTGGTCAGAAATCAATAAGAATGGGCTTCATCACCGGGCAAAAATCAAAATTTCCTACCAACCGAAAATGTTTGGTATGTACCATGCGCTCATATATGACCTTAAAATGCTGTTGCAAGCTTCGTAAAACACTTACAAATTATAAATAAATTAAAAAATATCTTTAAAATGCAGTGCCGGTGCAGTTTCATCTTTGGTGGGGCCAGTTTTATATGTACACTGTCTGTGTCGGGAAATGACGTCAACCAACAGCAAGTACGTACAGAACCAACCCCCCCCCCCCTCAACCCTCTCATCCTACTGGTCACCGTACGCTTAAAAACAAACAGAAAATGCTAAACCCATCATAGGCCTGTTCGTGTCAGCCCCACTCTTTGCGGAGAGAGAGAGAGAGAGAGAGAGAGAGAGAGAGAGAGAGAGAGAGAGAGAGAGAGAGAGAGAGAGAGAGAGAGAGAGAGAGAGAGAGAGAGAGAGAGAGAGACTCCTCCCCCACCCCGTTTCTACCTTTCTCTCACAATATTATTATTAGACTAGGCTTGCCTAAGCTATAATTATTGTGGTCTGCTACCCTATAAACCAAGGGAATTTACTCTCAAGAAATATTTGGAAAAATAATGATTTCCCCGGCGCGGTGTGTTTTGGTTTGAGTTTTCTCAACATCGAGTGTGCCCGGTTTTGGGCTGATGCGTTGAGCTACACCTGTACGATACCTTACCTTTTTCTGCTTACTGGAAGACTATAGATTGTAGTTCAAGACAAATAGTTCTTACTGGACGGAGCCTTGACTAGACTCTAGACCTAAGTTTTAAGAATAATAAATCAAAAGTGGATCAACATGTCAAGTATCTTGCTTCAGTTTCCACCACCTCCCAGAAGAAGTCATGTCACTGCTCTGGAACAGGAGGGGCAAATGAAAGATGTTCCGGAATCAGTTGCCTTTTCTTGTGTAAGTACCTTAGAATAAAAATAGATCTAGATCTAGATTTTAGATCTTATCTAGATCTAGATATAGATATAGATCTAGATCTAGTCTAGTACCCTTTGTCAGGATGGCCACCAAGTCTCCATTTTGTAGGGAAATAGAACTGAAAAATGTAACTGAAATAATGAATGTCACCAGACCAAACTGTCCACTGACACAGGCAGCAATCTGACTGAGACTGAGTAGATCTAGATCTATATCTAGAATCTAGTAGATAGATCTAGTAGTAGTGGTGGTAGTCAAGGCAAGGTCAGGTAGGCTACGTACTACGGGGTTTAATCTTGCTCCCCCCTTGATAAATTCCTCTACTATAATTACCTGTGTGTTATAAACAACGGATCCCTGTCTATGCAGAAACGGAAAGAAATTCGTTTCTCTTCGGGAGAAGTGGTCCCAGCCCAACTCCAAGACATGATTCATTTATACATTATGTACACAATCTAAAATGAAACCAGAAGTTGCCTTTAAAAAAAAGGGGGGGGGGGGGGGGACGTAAATTCACGAACTAATGGTTTGTATTGTGGCAGTTTTTAGGGCCAAAATTGTGCTCATCACACTAAAACGTTAGAATAGTACCGAAAATAGTCTCAAATGGGTTTGGACCTTTTCTATTTACGAAGTGGCTTAAAGTACGGCTAGCCTGAGAGTCTAGCCGTACTTAAGTTAGATCTCTAGGTTTGGCCCTACCGACTCAAACCTGTTAAGTACACAGGTCTCATTCGATCTAGATCTAGTAATTATTCAGGTTCAAATACATGCAAGTAGGTAAGGCACCTTTTGGTTTTTGTCTGAAATACAAATGCTTTAGGCATTGCAAACTAAAAATTTCATTTACAATTCAGCCATCAATATTAAGTACAGCTAGCCTGACAGTCTAGCTGTCCTACTTAAGTACGGCTTGCCTGGCTGTCTACCCGTACTTAAGTACTGCTAGTCAAGAAAAGTACGGTTAGACTGCCAGTCTAGCCGTACTTATCTTAGGCCCTATTAACATTACAAAAAAGGAGGTTTAAAATACATGCACTTTCATTAAGGCACCTGGTTTCGTCTCAAATACAAATACTTTAGGTACTGCAAACTAAAAATTTACAATTCAGTAGGTCACGAGGTATACAGACCCGGTAGGTTTATAAACTCTTTCGTGATTTCGGAAAGTTTCAGCGCTCAGACCCGGTAGTGTGTGTGTGTGTGTGTGTGTGTGTGTGTGTGTGTGTGTGTGTGTGTGTGAGAGAGAGAGAGAGAGAGAGAGAGAGAGAGGGGAAGTGCTAGATGACATCCTAGTTAGCAGTAGGGAACGAGAGAAAGATAGAGTGGGAAATAAGTGGGAGTGGGGAGAAAGAAAGACAGTGACAAAGAAAAAGAGAATACACAGAGAGCGTTACTGCTCGATAGAAATTATGACATTGTTTCTTTTCTTCAAATTGTGATTCCTCCAACTCCAAAACGGAGGAACAACGATCGTTCTTCGAAAAGACATCCGCATTCTTCATTTAGAGATCTAGATCTAGATCTAGGCTAGCCTCGTTACTAAATCAATGATTTATGTCTGTCTGTCTAGATGTAGGCCATAGATCTAGAAGAACCTAGGTCTACCCTGAGCCAAGAGGGCGCTGAACTTTTCCGAAATCGCAAAAGAGTTCCTCTACCGGGTCTGTATACTTCGGGACTTTGTTCCCGGTTACCGGGTCTGTATACACTCCCTTTTTTTATGGTCAGTCTAGCCATCATATTAAGAATAAGTACGGCTAGCCCAGCTGTCTAGCCGTCATTAAGTACGGCTAGCCTCTTCCTTCTATTTAAATTTACCGGTGGAATTTTCACCCTGGCAACTCAGTCAGTTATTTTACGCGACTTCCGTTTTTGTTTCCGATTTTGTGTCTATGGTGTTAGGCCTGGACCACTTCTCCCGAAGAGTGCCAGAAATTCTTTCGATTTGGAAGGTCTTTTTTTTTCTTTTTTTTTTTTTTTTTACCTAAGACAGAAAAATGTTTTGCGCACTCAGCCCTGATTTGATACAATGTTATGCCAATTTCTCACCTTTACACCATCCTACCAGGCGAGAAAGGGGAGTAGGGCAGTAGGGGTGCAATTTGGGGAAAGATGTTACCCCAACCTTGTTGTGCAAATGGTCACGGTGGGGTGGGTATGAAATCTCACCAGTGCCGGTGAGAGTGCTCGAGTGGTGCTCCAGTGTATGGAGACTTTCATGGATAGCCAGAAACCAGAAGTGTGAAATTAGTTTGGTCAATGCCTGCACATGCCGCCTTGATCATGATACGGCCGGCTGAGAAAAAAGTTTTTCAAATTGGTTGACTGTGCTTATTACACTGATGGTTAGGGCTAAGGGTGGAAGCAAAGGAGATGATCAAACATTAAATTTCTGTTTTTAAAGGTTAAACAGTTGTCCTATGAAAAGCAAGCAATGGATAAGTAGGCCTGACACACATTCTTTATCAAAGAGGATAGAGTGCTTGAGAGGTGTGAAATTTTGATTACTGCTTGCCAACTGGACTAGTGACCCTTGATCCCACAGGCTGGGCCTCTGAAAAACCCTCCATCCTCTCCTAAACACCCTTGTCCAAGATGGAAAATGTCTAAGACAGAATTTTTGGGGGATCCCTTGTGATTCCGTCTTACACAGGTTCGATTGTATTATAACGATACATTCTTTCTCTTCTTGTTCTTGTTGACTTTGAGGTTGAACTTGAACATTTTAAACTGAATCACTAAAGAATGATTTGTACCTTTTCAGGTTCCTGATTATCCTGATATCATTCTTAACACTGAAAGTTCCATTCGTGTCGCAGCCCGCTGTGAAAGCGCACAACTGGCTTTCTTATCCCATGGACAGACAGTGTGGAAGAGAGCTTTGCACAGCTGGTAATTATAATCTGAAAACCTACAAGACTTGTGAATTTACCTGAATGGAGAAAGGTACAGGGAACATGACAAAAGGCAGCAAAATGTTTTAAAAAGAGCATAGTTTTCTCAGAACAATAGATCACAAAGCTGTCATTAAGTTATAATTTTTGTTATTTTGGTGTATTTATCTTATGGGAGCCATTTCATGGCAATTTTCCACAGATGGAGTGGTACTAGGTTTCATGTTTTTTGTATTACAGAGGAACATTTTTAAAGTACTTTCGTAATTTATTTTTATGTTTCCTCAGCTTTAATTATTTTGCTTTTGTTATTACAAATACATGAATGAAAGCTTCTGCTCTTGGTTCACAGGTACAGAGGTGGTGTTGTCTGTTCACTAGAAGAAATTACTGAAAGCAAAGATGAAGGTATTGGTGTTTTTCAAAAACTTTCATAACAAATATAATTGTTTTTCAGGGTAAGCCAAAAATTCAGTGCTATCATGTAGCTGAATTCTGATAAATCAAACATTAAGGTTTTGTCATCTGGTTTGTTTTAAAAGTATTTTGTATTTCGCTTTTTTCGTGGTATTAAGTAACTAAATTTGTCCTCTTCTAGCACGATTACAAGGTGCTGCTTGCCCTGAGCTGTGTACTTTGATTCTCAATTATTGCAAAAGCCTCTCTTTCTTTTATGCTTTATATCACTTAATGGGTGGTTGGCGGGTACTCCAGTGTGGTTTGCTCCTACCTTTCGATCGAACACCTATTGTCCTTTGTCTCTCCTCCTTTTTTTGTGTATGTTACTCTCATGTAACACGTCTACTCTTCGGCACTTATATGACCTTATTGTGTTGCAAGTGCTGTAAAACTCTTACTAAAACAAAATTATGCCACTTGCAGCAGATCCGTGTTACCTTGGCTATGGTGTGTGTACCTAAAGACTTGGATGTCATTACACATCAGAGGATAATAAGGCATTCTCTTGATGAAGCACAAGACCCTGGATGATGTGTTCAGCCCAGTGTGACCTGAATACACAACTGTTCTTTTGTTTACTAGTCTCTACGCCTCTTTTGCTTTGATTGCAAACACAGGTCTTTGATAATGTGGGTCAACATGATGTGCTCACACAACAGTATAGTGCTCTCTTTTCCTTTCCACCCAGACCCACTTGTTTCATCTCTGGTCAAAGGTCTCAGATTAACGTTTTAGGATAGGTTCTGTGAATAGAGGAGTGACCTATGTAACTTGTCAGGGCCATATTATTTTTATTATAAATTGCTGCAGTTTTAGTTTTGCACCCATGTCTTAAAAAATGGCCAAAATTTCTTTTTAAAAAGCCAACAAATTAATGACTGTTCCATTTTGTCGTTCACAAACTTTTATGTCCTTTTTTTTTCTCTAAATTGTCTTTTTATGAACTTGGCTGGTATCCAGACTGCTAGCTGTGAGAAGAGCATCCGACAATCTTAGGGGATGTGGTTTACTAAATTTAAACTGCTTACAATGGACAGAAGGGAATCGATAACAACAACAACAACACAGCTTACACATTCTTTCTATTGTGTCCCACTTCAGTCGCTTTTTCCCCCAGTAATGTAACATTGTAGATGGCTTTAGATGAGAGAGATGACTTGCAACACCTCATTCAAGGTGTCATCCCTTCCTATATCTCCTTTTCCACAATCTTTTTTCCCCCCTGCAATAATTTTATAATTTAGCAATGACATTGCATCAACTGTCTCTCTTTAGCTCAATATGTCCTTTGCCCTTTATTCAAGAATTGCAGCTATGCTCCTGACAGAGATGAATCATGAAGAGGAAGAAGCTGGATTGAAACACAAGGTTTATGTTTACTACACGTGGGCAGTATTGCATACAGACGAAAGTCATTTTTGGTGGCCTTTGAGATACGTCAGTATGCAATACTGCCCGCGTACAGTAAATCAGTCTCCTTTTAAGACATTTTTTTCTCCTTTTCTTTTCCAGTGCCTGGCTGGATGTCATCAGTTTGCCAGACTGCTTTGAGCTGTCTTCAGAAAGTGATTTTACTGAAGGAGTCTCTGTTTCCTCAAATGGGGGTGAGCCTTGTTTCATATTTAGATTCCAATTAGAATGCCTTGATTGTGTGTGTGTGTGTGTGTGTGTGTCTGTGTTTGTGTGTGTGTGTGTGTGTGTGTTTTGCTTTCCAAAAGCACTTTTTAATGTCCTTCTATACGTTTTAAACAGATTTTATTGAATTGCATTTTTGCTGAATTTGGTATACTATTATTATTGTGTTATCTGTTTGCGTTAATTTTGATATTGATTTTGTCCAGCCATTGATCTTTGACCCTTGATTATTTGAGTGTGATAAAAAAAATTTTTCATCTTTATTGTTTTTTTTTCTACAGCTTTCAAGAGATGAAATATTGAAGAAATATACACCCGTTGCAAACTGGTAATTTGTCCTGTTTTTGATTGCTTGTTTTTTTTGGTTGTTTTTTTCTTTTTTGTGTGTACTGTTTCCAATGAAGATGGGACTTTCTTTTTTACAGCTTTTTGATAGGTATTGCGCTCATGAATTAGAAATTGTGATTTTGTTTGTCTCTGTTGTGTTCGTTTGTGTATAACATGTATGTATATATGTGTGCATACTTCTAAGGTAGTGCAATAATAAACTTGGGTTTTTTAAATCTGATTTTTATAAACCTGTTCTAAAGCTTATCATTTTGAGTATTTGTTGTGTGTTGCAATTGTATTATATCATAATGCTTGTGAATCTTGGAATGAAAAATGAAGTTTTTACTGTGCTGTTCAAAGTGTCGCTTTGCCTTTAAGATGGAGATAATTTGTCAAATTTACCCCAGTACTATGCTTTTTACTATCCTTCCTATATTTGATCTCTTTTTTTTTTCCAAGCCTCTGCTGAATTGCAGTAATTTAATAGATATGGATAGCCATGCGGTATAACAGTTGGAACAGATAGTGGCATTTCAGCTGAAGGCCCTGAACTAAATGAATGTTTTTTCTTAGTTAATTCCTTTTGAGCAAGTACCTGGTGCTCAAGCTTTTTTCAGCTCGCACTTTCCATTTGCTTTGCAACACAAATTCACCCTCTGGCTATAGTCAATTAAGTATGTAGATACAGGTTCTGCCACTGGGAAAAACAGAAGAACAATAAACTATATACTATAAAACCCAAACTAGAACAGCGAAGTCCTTCGGACCTCTCCAGAAGAGACGAAGTCATTTTTACTCGATTGCGCATCGGACACACGGCCCTGACCCACAAATACCTACAGGGAGATGAGAAGCCGTTCTGTGTCGGATGCGACACAGATTTTACCATTAGACACATCTTAACCGAATGTCTAGACTTTGGAGAGATCCGAAGGAAATATTATAAATGCAAGAAATTGCAAGACATTTTTTCCGTCGTTGTTCCCAGCAGAATTTTGAATTTTGTGAAGGCCATTATGGCAAATTGTAAAGTAAAACAATATTGTTAAAAAATTTTTATTGTTAATTATAAGAGTTGTTTTAAATCGCAAATATATTTACACTGAATTTGTGTATTTTAGCATTTTAAAGTCTAATTGTCGACCTATCGTACAGTGAACTATTGCGAATGCTACCAACTTGTGTTTTGCGCGCTCACATGACCTTATGCAGTTGCGAGCGCCGTAAAACCCTATACTACTACTACTACAGGTATTTGTATTGATGATTATGGCCATTTATTTCATTTTGCCTAACTTCATCAGGTTCAAGAGTCCTGTGCAGGCTTTAGCTTGGCACCCACATGTTACAAAGCTGGCAGTGGCTCTCAAAGACGATTCTGTTCATGTATATTCAGCTGGGAGCAGTCTCAATCCAATTCTGAAGCACAAATTGCAAAAACAAGTGGCAGACTTGGCATGGAAGTGAGGAATTTTATGTGGTGCTCTCATTCTATTTGATGTACTGGTTACCTTTTATGACACACACTGTTCATAACATTAACACTTTGCTGCCCCATCTCGTCCATCGGCGATGTTTACCACCCAGTTTCTTTGGATTTTCCCCTAAATGCCTTTGCCTTTGATGGCAAGAGTTTTTACTATATATGAGCCTTGTGATTGCAAAGTGTTAAAGCATTTGGACCCTTCAAGAATTAATGTGAGGCAGTTTTTGCTGCTCATGTAATTTATGTAACTTATGATGTTGAGGGAACAAGCACTAGGTTGACGCAATAGAATTTAAAACTAATAGAATATTATTTGAAAAATTCGGGCTGGTTTAAAGATCAGTATTTTAAAACTTTACTGATGATTGATTGCTTCAGGACTTTCAGTGATAAATAATGCCTCCCATCTTTGAGGTAGTCCTTTGAAATCTGTGATTTATGCTAAAATTTAGTTTTGCCCCCTCCCCTCCTTTTCCAGTGTTTTCTCCCACCCGTTCAGGTGTTAGAAGTAACAAATGACTATTAATGTTTGCTTAAATTGTGCAAATACCTGAATAATAATAATAGAGGTTTCCTGTTGTTATGCTTTTGATACATATTGTGTTGAATATTTATTCCCAGACCTTTGTCAGGATCTGTGCTAGCAGTTGCTTGTGAGAGTTGCGTCTTGATCTGGCATGTGGAACCTACATCTCTGGCTGTGAGGTGAAGGCACAATATTCAAATAAAATTGATATTACGGAGTCTTGTCTCGTCTCAACTCTAAATTCTAGCAAACCCCTGGAGCAGCAGGCACTAAATATGAAAAATTATACAGGGTTCCCGCGGCCTCCTTGAATTCAAGGAGTCCTTGAAAACTGCTTGAATTTGCTTTCAAGGAAAAATCTCCTTGAAAACTTGAATTTGTGTTCTAGGAAAAGTCTCCTTGAAAACTCCTTGAATTTTGCCAGATCGGACAGGAACACCTGTACAGAGTGACTGCCAGGCCCCGGGAATCCCGGGGGCCCCTGGAATTACCCAACAATTTGAAAAAAATCGCTGAGACCCGGAATGCAACGGGAATTTGAAGAAATCTGTAAATTGCCCCGTGAAAGACCCGGGAAAATACATAAACGTTCTCGAATATTTGAAAACCAAATCCGATAACGTCCTTGGGTCCATTTTTGCGGGTCGCGGTTGTGATATAATATAATTAATTCGGCCGTTCCTGGCCCGAGAGTACGTTACACGCGCACAGGCGGTTATGGCGGCAACTAGTGGAAGTGTATATGCGATGGACCCTCGATATGCGATACAGAAGCTTGATCGGGAAAATCAAGATCTACTTTCGCTTTCTTTACCACCAAGAAATTTGCTGGTAGGGCCTATAGTAGTCTGATAGCGCCACATTTGTAACATGCAGGTTCTGTATTACAAAGCTCTGTCGCCATGAAAACAATTCGTTTGTCCTGTGCTGTCACTTGTGAAAAAAACAGAAAGAAAAAGAAAGCTTCTTGTCGGGCTCGCCGTCGTGACCGGTCATTGAACCTGTGCGTTTTCGTCACATCGCGAGTATCGGCAATGGTTGAGGTCACCAAAGTTCATGCTAAGTCTGAGCGCTGCGAAGTTTATGACTCGGGAAAGGGGGGATTATTCTTTTTTAAAAAAATATACAGTCGGGGGGGGGCTGAGGTTGAAGGCAACACCGGATGACAAAAATTTTATTCCTTCGTGGAATTGTTTCCTATTTGTATTAATAAGTAGAAAGTAAATGTTCTATTTGCTGATAGATTTAAAAGCCACACGAAGTATTAACCAAAATGCAACTTGATTTGTGTTCATTGTTGAAGTTGTTTCTGAAATGCTCGTCTTTACCCTATTTTCTTTAAGAGTTAGGTTTTTTGTGAGAAAATTGTGTTATTTTTTAAAGAATATTGTAAAGTATTTGAATAATTCCATCAGCTTTACTAAGAATGTCACAATGTTTTTTTGTGAATGTATGTTACATCCTAAAGGTTCTAACTATTCATTCATTTGCTATAATCTTAACTCTCTGGTTCCGTGTGTTTCTTTCAAAGGCCCTCGTCAAGCACTGTCCAAGTACTGCAGTCGCCCGGTCACTCCCCTGTCACCAGCTTGGCATGGGACCCATACAGCAGCCACTTGGTGTCCGCTTCACCATGTCATTCATCTGTTTTGGTTAGTTTCATGTTCTGTGAATCCACTAAATCTTGAAATAGTTTCTTCAACATGTTTAATTTTGATGGAGACATAAGTTCAATCGCACCTGCAGTTTGTTTAAGTTCAGTTAGTGTTCTTTTATATATCTATGTTGCTGCAAATACATAATTTACTTCCCTTTTGAGATGGTGTGTAATAAATAGTCAATAGAACATTGAGAGGAGTGATTTCTTTCAGAGTGAAAAATATTTTGATGCTCTTTTATAGACCTGCCACTCATCCCAATTTAATCGGGATATACTGATTTTCTGCTCCAAATCCCGATTTTCCAGATTTCGATTACGTGTATCCTGATTTTTTGTGTTCCGTCTTTTGCGCTGGATTTTTCTAATAATTTCACTCCCTTCTTCTCTGTCGCGGAATGTCAGCAGGAACTCGGAGCACTGTTTTCCGAAATATCGATGCTGGATTTAGTAGTTGACTCACCCCTAGTTGTGTTGGAACTTTGCTCGTACATTTTTTTTCAACTATAATGGAAGTATTATCTATTTGGCTTTCCGACTTGAGACATTCTCAAGATCTACTTTAGGTTTTTTTTCCACTCAGAACTCACACACACACACACACACACACACACACACACACACACACACCCACAGAGAAAGAGAGAGAGGGCGTATATATGGAAATATTTATGGACACCCTAAGAACATTTTTATCAGCTTGGCAGTCGTCTTGGTGATTTGTTGTTGATCCGCATTTTTTTTTTTACCAAATCCCGATTTTTTCCCTCAGAGATCCTGATTTTTAGATTTCATAGAGTGGCAGTTCTGCATTTATGACATTTACAATTGTACAAGCTCATCTTCCTTCTTTTTTTTGCTGGAACCCATAAGCTTAGGGATCTGCTTCTCTATAATGTTCTGTGTCTAGTAGGATGTCAACCTCAAAACAGACTGAAAATGTAGAGGCCACAGGGGTTTATCCTGATGACAATGGATATTGTTAGATTGTAAAAGGGTATGGATATCATTGGTAATCTTGCCTGCCCAGACTGACATGGTATAGGTAATGGTTCCATTCATAGAAAGTCAAGCTACCTTTTTTTGGTTAATTTTGTTTTGTTCATGATTGTAGTACTTTTATTCTTCATCATGTGTGGACGTCACATATTATTTTGGTATTCCAGGTATGGGATGTTCCCATGGAGACTGCGATTCCATTGAAAAGAAATCGAGGAGGTGGAGTGGCACATTTGTCGTACTCTCCTGATGGAACAAAGCTCTTGACTGCAACCACATCATCTCTATTTAGGTAAATGCGTTTGCATAAGAAAATTGTTTTCCAATCTGATTTATTCTTTTTTTCTCCTTTTAAAACAATTGAAGTTCACTGGTTTAATTTTGTTGTGTGCCGTTCATCCATTTCTCAGTGAGTTTTGTGTTTTATTTCCCTTATGGCGTTATACAGATGAGCACGTATATTTCTAACACGTTGGGGGTTGACAGTGGTAGTCGTCTCATCTAAAATTTGAATAAATGTTACAACGAAAAATAAGAGAGATAGTGAAGAAAATCAAAGGAGGTAACTGACTACTCTACCATCATGGAAAGTGCTTGGTATTGATAAAAGGATGCTGCGTTCGCCTTGTTCGGTGCTGAAGCAAGAGAAAGGAAGAGAGTGATGCTGATGAACCTTACTTCTAAAAGGAAACGTTGCTCTTCCATCAGATCATGATCATAATGGTGTAACCACAGCACATCACTCACCTTTCTTCTGCAATCATTTCCAGATCCATATCTTCATGTTCAACCACACACACCCATGCACACACAGACACATATGCACATAAAAATGTATAAATAATTCAAACATTGTACGGCCCAATGCAGCACCATACAGTCTATCTTTGATCCAGCACTTACCCTCACATGACTAGATTCTAGGTGGTTCTAGAGTCTTATGCACACTACAGGTAATGTGCGATGTGTGTCTCAATACAAGCAGTGTGTGTACTCACTGCGCTATGAGATAGGCTCATGTAATCTGAACTCTCTATGATAATGGGTGTGTTTGTTTTCCCAGGGGGATTTGAATTCACGTGTTGCGAGGAAAAATTGTGATCGGCTTTTTGAAATGAGTTTTTTGACACATTACATCGTTTGGGTGTTCAAGAATTCAATGCCGTTAGTACAAAAAAAATATAGCAATTCAGTTGGAGAATGGCATAGTGTTCAAGCTATCCATGAATTTGAGTTTTGCATGTGCGATTTGACTGTGTGTATTTATCTTTGGGAGTGCTTATTTGGGCCACATATGGCCTAAATAAGGTAAGGGAGGGGGGTTTAGCTTATTTAGGCCACACATGCTCAAACTACCAGGGGACACCCTTTTAAGGCAACTGAGTTCGTTCCACTTTCATAATGGTGCACCTTTCTCATTTAGTACAGTTTTGTCTCAGTGTACAACTTAAATATATCATAATGAATATTGTAAGAACAAAGCACGATACGCAAAGTTTTGCTCAATCTCAATGGTTTGAATGAGGGCCAGATTTTTCCTTCATGGAGGGGCAAAATCTAGGCTACCATTTTGGCACACTTTGGTCAAGTAAAAAGGTCAAATCCTCCGAATGGACTTCCGGGTCAAATTTGGGGTATAAAAAGTGTATACACAACGTGGCTGAGTCAAAGTTACACTATCTTTGCCTGGGTGGCACTCTCTCGTACTGTCTCGTAGTAGTACATCTCTCGTACTGTCTAGTAGTAGTAGCCTACATGTGTAGATGTAGTAGTAGTAGTAGTAGCAAAGATCGAGAAGAATCTTTGGTAGTAGATTCTATCTAGTAGGCAGTTTAGTGAACGTGCACGCGGCAGGGCGAATCGGCCTCGATAAGCCCCGTAGACCTTTGTGATCGGCCACGAAGCCTCGTGTTTTGATAGGTCTAAACAACTTAGTGTTAATCGCACTGCCACATCCGACAGGCCTTTATCTTTTTAAAAGGAAAAGAAATGGTCATCAAAATGGTTGAATTTGCGTGAAAATCGATTCGGTAGAACTGTAACTATTAAAATTTGCTTCTGAAAACAAGTTACAAGGCCATTTTTATAACTCGATGAGATAAAAACTACTGGCTGTATTATTCTGTATAAATTATGAAACTTCAGGACGTATTATTATTTTCCAACATCTTTTGCCGCCTTAGCTGTAGAGGTTGAAGTTTTCACAACACTAATAGATCTAGTAATAGGGCTTTCCGTAAAAAATGCATAGATCTACAAAAGCCGAACCACCGAATCGACCGGTCAGCGACCCGGGCACCCCGCTCTCCCCTGCACACTGTGATAACATGTTGCTTCGGTATAATTATTCAACTATTAATATGTGCTGCTATGGCAATTGGGATGTACTGACTGACAAAGCGATTCACAGTTTTGTTTTTATTTTACCATATATTTGACTTTAATAGTGCAGGTGATAGCTAGATCTAGATTCCCTGTCTAGAATCAGTAGTAGCAGACAAATGCTAGAAGCAGCCAGAGAGCCTACAACTGCTAGATCTAGATCTAACTCATTGCTATGCCTTTGGGCTTTGGAATTGAAATAAAACGAATTGCACAGTTCTAGTTAATTTTAGATTCAGCAACTATCTGTATTTCCAGAATTAATAATAACAAATCTCACCATAACAATCACTTTTACTTTTATTAGAATAATTAGATCAACTTTTTTTTCTAAAATCTGTTCTGCGCAAACTTAAGACTTTCTCTACGTGTAGAGCACAGAATTTACATTGTAAGCCTCTGCTCAGTCTTTTATTTTTAAGTATATACTTTTAAATAAAATATGTATAGATATAGATCTATATAATCATTTTATGTTATTTTCTGGATATTGTTAAAAACGGGGTCTACCTAGCAAAATACTAGGTTTTAGGACAGGTGGACCCCGGGGTCACCGTAGTGAAATACATGTAAGTAGATTTATTTAAAGATTAGTAGACCCCGGGGTCACCGTAGTGAAATAAGTAGGTTTAATTTTAAAAGGATTGGTGGACCCCGGAGTCACCATAGCCGTAGAGGAATAAGAAGGTTTAATTAAGAATTGGTGGACCCCCGGGACACCGTGATTAAACCTACTTATTTTACTACGGTGACCGCATGGTCCACCTATTCTAAAACCTAACTAGTATTAAATTTCGTTAGGTAGACCCTGGGGTCCACCTTAAACCTAAACCTTCCTATTTCACTACGTTGACTCCTGGGTCCACCAATCCTTAAAAGTAAACCAAGATCTACATGTACTTATTTCACTACGTTGACCCCAGGGTCCACCAAACCTTAATTAAACCTAGATCTACTTATAATTTCACTACGTTGACCCAGGGGTCCACCAATCCTTATTAATTTAAACCTAGATCTACTTATAATTTCACTACGTTGACCACGGGCTCCGCCAGTCTTACTATAAAATAAACTGAGATCTACTTATTTCACTATGTTGACCCCGGGGTCCACCGATCCTTAGTCAAACCTAGATCTACTTATTTCACTACGCTGATTCCAGGGTTCACATCCTAAAACAGCATTTTGTTAGGTAGACCCCGCGGTCCACCTATCCTTTTGGGGCTAGATAGACCCCGTGGTCCGCCTATCCACTTCCTTGATAATAACTGAAAAACATGCCAGTTGTCATGAATAGTGAAGAAAAATGTGGGGGAAAAAAGATAACGAGGTAGACGATAATTTGTCCAAAAAATTGCAAGTGCAAGTGAAAATCATAAGATAATTTTGTTATTTTCTGGTCATCTTTTCACGGTTTATAAAATGTTCCAGTGGGCTTACTACTAGATCTCTGTCTCTGAAGAACATTTTGCTTGATTTTATTAGCTTTTTTCATGTACTTGAAAGCATAGAATAAAATAGTTTCACACAAATGTATGCACAATACCTTAAAAAAGAAAGATAAGGTCATTGTTGTTGTTGTTTTTTTAACGGAATCCGTTTTACGTTGAAAAAAGCGCTAAAAACAAGTTAAAATTTTTATAAGAATGCCCATAATATTAGGAATCCGAAATTACTACCTTGATCTAGTTTGCTGACTCTTTAATAACCATGAGCTGTTAAGAAAAAAAGAGAATGATATAGGATTTGTCTAAATATGACCATTAGTATTAGCATTAGTAAGATATTGCCCATTTTGTCCAATTATCCTTGCAGGTTTTAATCACCCTGTACTGCACCTCAATAAGCACAAAAAGAATATTTCTGTGACTTTGTATAAAGGTGTTTTGTAGTTGAGTTCTATGTAAAATTCTCAACAAAATAATGTACATTTGGACCGTACAACTGAGATAGACACTCATGCACACAATAACATTCACACATTACACACATACAAACACACTACTACATTTACTCTCTCTCTCTCTAGATCTCTCTCTCTCTCTCACCACAACCACACACAAAACAAACACATACACACACACACACTCACACACACACATACACACACACACACACACACACACACACACACACACACACACACACACACACACAACTCTTACACTTGGTCCACTTATTTAGAATCATCCTCTATTTTGAAATAATCCCCCGCACTAAATAAAAAGATCAGTAGAATCTCGACCTTCCGAATCCATGGTTAGTTCAAGAAATCTACCATATGATGTGGCCTAAATAAGGTAAGGGAGGGGGGTTTAGCTTATTTGGGCCACAGTGTGGCCTAAATAAGGTAAGGGAGGGGGGTTTAGCTTATTTAGGCCACACTGTGGCCCAAATAAGGTCACCCTTTATCTTTTTAGGGTCATTTTTCATAAAAGAAACATTTATGTTTGAAATGAAGAAAGATTCATAAAAATATTTGGTGAAGGATGCTATAACTTGTATTATTGAAATATTCTTAAAATTCTTTTAATTGTATTACACAGCCCATTGATATCATATAGGGTATGAAGATATGAAGCTGAAAAAAGAAAAAGTGTATTTTTGCATGTTTCTGCTCCCCTCAGAGTGTGGGAGACCCACCACTGGCAGTGGGAAGTGTGGTCACAGCTCTCCGGAAGACTGACTGTGAGTTGTCCTCTTTCTTTGCTCTGTTTGTATGAATAAAGATTCTTAAATTTGTAAGATACATATGTAGGGCATATTTTTTTTTGTATTTACCTTATTCAGTGCTTTAACTTCAGTTTCTTTATTGGTATAAAAAATTGTTGATAAGATGTAGTCGTCAATAAGACCTGGAAATGGTGAAAGGTTATTTTGTGGCTACCTACAAATGCAAAAGACTTTCAAATCCACTGCCCATTGTCGATGTTCTCACCTGTGTGCAGACCCCAAGTCTGTTCACCAGCTCCGGCAGCGCCGACTCCGCTGGCTTGGTCACGTACATCGCATGCCGGATGGAAGAAACCCAAAGGACTTATTGTACGGTGAGCTGGCCTCCAGAAAGTGAGCGCAAGGGCGCCCCCATCTTCGCTTCAAAGATGTGTGCTAGCGAGATCATAAAATTGCTCGATATGGACACTGGGAAGTGGGAGACACTGGTGTACGATCGCAACAAATTGAGACAGGCGCTGCGAGCTGGTCTCATCAGAGGTGAAGCCCGACTTTGACAGGCTGCTGAGGACAAACGCCGTCGCCGTAGCCAGAGGCTACCAACGCAGGTAGACGCAACTTACAAGTGCGGCCACTGCGACGGGGACTTTCATTCTAGTGTGGGCCTGTTCAGCCACAGCAAGCGCTGCTCTTGAGAAATCTCCTACGGCGCAGAATATAGTCTCCTGAGACTGAAGGATGCCTTAAAAAAATAATAAGTGTGTGTGTGCCTATTTACGTGTGCAACCTGTTGTACTATTCACATATCTATCACTAAAAAGTAATTGATTGAATCTTTTCTATTTTGAATTTCCAGGCTTCTTGTTGGAGTCCCGATGGACGTGTTCTCTTGTTTGCAATGGAAGGGGAAAGTGCTTTGTACGCCATAAGGTACGCTGAAGATAGCTGGTTGGGACAGGGGAACATGAGCACTGCTGGCTCATCTGTGCTGCTCGCTGATGTGTCTCAGGTGTGCGTCTCCTCGGACTCAAGAGAAGATGTCAAGTAAGTGACTGGATGTTGGTATTGTGTTTCATGTTGGCCTTTTAGGGGAGGAGACCTTTGGAAGTTTCATAAAAGGAAAAGAAATCAAACAAGGAAGTACCGAAAGAATTCCATGTTGGCTGTTCACTAATAAAGACAATTAGGAAGTGACAAATGCTTGAACATCTAACTCTCACTGGAAGAAAAGAGGGTTGAGGTTGACCCAGAGAAACTTATTCAGAAAATCTGAACAGATGGGTGATTGGAAACACCAGGATATATAGGCTTTTCGAGAGAATCTTAGTGGAGAAGTGAATGGAGAACCGTGATCTCTAATGCCTGTTTCAGATTTAGCACTTAATGATAATGATTGGGTCCTTAGTATGCCGAAAGAAAATTTTACTATGTTTTCACTTTGTCTGTTATTGAACATGAGCTGAAATCTCCCTTACAGAAATGGATGCAGTGCTTTGAGTACCTACGCCGCTGGTGGGGCTCTACTTCCTTTCTATTCTTTCTTTTATTTCTGTCCAGTCTTGCTTGTTCCCAGCACTGAATGACTGTTATAGAATCGATGTGCTTCTCTTCACCCCTATAAACAAGCAGAATTTGAAGCATTATAATTGAGCTTCCTTGGATGAGGGAGAAAGACATATGTGTCATATTAGTCAAAGTAATAATGTAGTTCTCTTGTATTCTTGCAAATTAATTTATTCTTTGTTTGTTTCACTTTGGTTCCCAGGGCTGGTGGTGCTGTCAAGTCCATCATGTGGGACAGCACTGGAGAGAGAGTGGCTGTGATGTTTCAACGTAAGGAAAGAATTTGTTATAACCCCTTGACTACTAACCATTTGTGCACCCCACATGCTGGGAAAAATTCTACGTGAGAAGACGTCACAGGTCACAGTCTTAAATTGATGATTGTTTGCTTATTATAGAAGGCAGTTCGGTAAAACCAGTAGAAAGATAAATGATAAGATGAAGTCATCCATTAAGCAGACCTGCATAGAACAAGCCATAACAATGTAAACAACTTGAAAAGACTAAGAATGAACAAGCACACTGATTCTACGTGTTGGCTCTGTCTCGCATGATGTGTGTGAGAAAGACAACACACCTCGCTTTGTTATATGAGTAACAAAGCTCGCGCTTCTCATCAAACTACGTATCAGTAGAAAGACAAACGAAAGAATGGTTTTATCCGTAGCCAAGGCTCTGGTCAAACAAGCTATAATAATATAAACAAGTGTAAAGAACTGCAACAAGCGTTCCGAGTCGACGCATTGGGTCTCGCACGATGTGTGTAATAAAAACTACGCTTCTCGCTTTTTTTGTGTCATAGAACCCGACCTTTCCGTCCATTAGTCTAGATATATATATGACCTCATAGCTGACACTATACGCTTTGAAGGGATGTCACTCTCTTTATTCAAATCTTTGTAATATTCAACTAAACAAACATGAGTTTGAGCCACCCTACGAGATACGTTTACACAGCACTGGGCGGCAGATTATCGGTCTGTATGAGATACGTTTACACAGCAGTGAAGGGGTTAATGAGCTTAAACTTTTTCACACCTCTTGGCAACAGAAGATGGTCTTATAATTACAAACTTTTTTTTTGGGGGGGGGGGGGTAAAAAAAGAGAGTATAAATGGAGTGTTCTGATTTGAAATTCAAGTAGCATAAAACTTTTCAGTTTCAAGTAATTCATTTTTGGACTTAAATATACATTGGTGATGACTGCCATTTTGGTAGTGAGTTATACTTAATTATTTTTTTTTGAAAGAATGGTAAATGTTTGGTATAACATTATGCGAAAAACTTGTCTTTTGTCTTTTCCTTTGATCACAGTGTGCTTTGCTCAGCTAGTCAGACATGCAGGTCTGCTACTGTTAATATGTTTATGTTATGTATTTGAGGTTGTTTTTTTTCTTTGTATTCATGTATTTAGCTGATGAGCTGGGAAACAACTCTCTTGTGGCTGTATTTAAAGCTATGATTCATCCTGTTCTGGAGCTCATTCCAAGGTATGTTGTGCTGTTTAGAAAAAAAGATGCCAGGCATTCATAAAAGGATATTGAGAATGAATCTGGTAATATAACATTAGGTAGCATAAACACGGCCTCGCGGGCACTCGCGGCCTTCCGACCGCGCGGTATCGGTAAAATCGGGTTAATTCCGATCGCTGTTTCTTTGCTCTTTCGCTATAAAACACCAAATGCCGTACACCTTGTAAAAGTTCAGCTTTTCCTTGTTACAATGGTGTAAGTTGTTTATATGTCCGATTATTAGGAGCTGGAGAATCGCCGACGAAAGCGAAGCCCCTCGCGGTCAGAATGCGAGGTCGGCCGGTTGAAAAATTGACACGCGTGCATTCAAATGCTTCGCGGAACGAGGGATGATTAAATACCGTCTTTTCATTGGCGGAGAACTGTAGAGCTTTTAACGGGCTTTCCTGTGATATAAGTTTAGCCTTTGGCGTCTTTATAGAAAGCTTTTAAAAATACCGTCGAAATGTTTAAAGATCACTTTTTACACAAAATATGTAAAATACCGGCTTATAAAGAGTATTAATTAAAAGATCAGTTCATTTCCTATTAGAATAAAGTAATTAAATTGGAATTATTTTACATCAATCCTTCCGCGAGACTCAGAAAGCATGTGACCCCGCACGCGGGGTACACTACAGTATAGAGCCGACTCGCTCGCCGCGGGGGCTGGTGCGACGCAGGCCGGGTCAACGCTCGGTGTTTTTGTCGAAATAACGACAGATATCGTGTTTGAGGTGATAAAGTACTGATTTGTAAAGATCTCACAGTCTTGAAAAAAATTATGCTCCATATATTTGTTATAGTGATTGTACTCTGTTAATGTGGAGATGTTTAGTGCACTTGTTACTTTTTTATTGTCTGTCAAACATGGGGTTGCAGCCAGTGACTGACTTTAACAAATTTGATCAAATTTTAAACAACTACAATTTTCTTAAAAATTGACGGAGAGGTTAAAGAATGGTACCAAAATGCTCAGTGGATATAGGCCTTTCAAATGGAACAGATAAATTTGGCATACAGCTAGTTTGAAATTTAGTTTGTGGTACCTAATAACATACTGTCAAACCATAGTCTATATACATGTAAATCATTTTCCATATATAGATCTTGCTTGATGAAACTTATGAATAGTACCACTCCCATAGAAATATTATCATATAAAGAAATGTTTCAAGCAAGTGAATGGAATGGGTTTTTTTTTCACCACAAGCCAGTCCGTGTTCCTATATATTTTAGCACTCTTCTGTGTAAATATTTTGTGTCTACCATAATTTCGTACAGCTTGAAAAAATGAGAGTTTTTAATAATTTTTTTTTTTTTGGGGGGGGGGGGGTTACTAATGACCAAGGGTTTCTTTTCTAAGTTTTAAACAGGGGAAAATAGTCATATTGTTTTGTATACATGTATATGAATATTTCTAAGTTTTTATCCTGGAACTCACTGCTTTTCAGTGGCTTTGTGAAAGGGAAGACAGGAGAATCTGCTCACCACATTGCATTTCAGCCAAGTTTTTCGGACGGAGCGCTTTTGAGTGTGGTAAGTGCCAGAAGGTTTTTGTCTCTCTCGTCACATGAAAAGAAATGTGTCACGACGTGGTGGAATCAGGCTGTCGTCAACTTTTGGTCATGTAGAGTTATTGGTATCATTCTTAAAGCTTGTCCATTTGCCTTTCTTTGGATGAAAAAAATGTCCATTTATCTTGAATAGATGTCAAGATATTTGCGAACGAAGGAGGTGAGGGTCATCTGGTCTCAGGGGTAAAAATATTGAGAAAATGGCTGCCAAAGATGAGTTATTTTCTAAGCTTGAGAGTCCATGGAAACTGAAAAAGATTTTCTTTATTCCTTAAACTCGCTCGCTGCCGGCGCCTTAGCACAGATCAAGCCGCTGCCTGCTAGCGTTTTTTGACCTTTTTCAAAATCCAGTTACTCTGTACCTATTAATGTTAGATTTATTAAAATTGGCCAGTTTTAGTAGGAGATGTTGAACTTTGCAGAACAGAAAAGAATTTTGCCTCTATGTTGTTTTGTTCATGTTTTATAGCTTTTCAAAAAACGACACAATTTTGGGACTAAAACTTTTTGTTTTAGCCAAACTTGCCTGTACAAATTTTTGCTGTTTTTGTGAGAGGGTTGATTTCTGTCCTAAAATACATATAATACATATAAAATATATGACAAAACAAAGAAAACTAAATTGATAAGTTTTTGATGACTTAGGCTACTCTATTTCAAGCGTCAATCATTAGACGTCAGTACTAGACTCTAGTTCTAGTACTAGATTCTAGTACTAGTATTAGTACTAGCCTATTGCTGTCGACAGGTGATCTACCTCTTTCTCTCATCTCAAACTACCATCACTACCATTATTTTGCACTTCATTATCTGAACCTGAGTTCATTAAATTATATGGAGTGAGTGAGTTAATCAACGTTTTTCAGTAAAATCCACACAGAAATGTGTTCTTTAATGGGCATGAAAGGTGTTGAGCCAAAAAACGGAAATTCAATAAAATCTCACAAACCTGCGAAAAAAATGCCAGTTTCTTCACTTTGATTATTTTGACGAGCACCTGATTTCACCACGCTGCCTCACAAATGTTTAATTTTAGATTTTCTTTAGACTTTTCTTTAGTTTTAACCTAATATATTTAGACAGTGAGGCTTAGGACTCTTTCTGTGTTGAATGTTATACAGTAGTCTCTGCCTAAACACATGATGCTTGGAAAGGCCCCAAAGCGTGTGTTTATGCGGAGCGTGCGTTTACATGAACCAGTGCAAAGGGAGGAAGGCACACAGTCATCTCAATTCTTTGACATTCTAGTGACCTCCTTTGGGGTTGGGGATCACTTTGGCCGATAATGTGACGACACGTGACTATTTTGTGAAGGAAATAGACTCAATATAATGATATGCATCATAAAATGTCGGGAACAGATAGCTTAAGAGGAATCTGTTGATGATAGTCATAGAGTTGACAGCCCAGCCACGTGGCTTTCCAAGGGACCACCCACGCCTGTAAATTCATGAACGACATCAGAATCATAGATCACTACATTCAGAGAAACATTTCTCTTGTTATTCGTTGAACAAGTACGTTAGAAGTTCTTCAGGCGCAGCTGATTAGGTTTACTTGACTAATCTTTGATCCTATAGAGGCCTATCTAATGTTTTACAGCATTCACACGTGTTGCAAATCATAGGCCTCGGTCTAACTAAACATTACATGCAGTCACCTAAACACCAGTCCGAAACCATCTCTCAAAGATGCATTTCCAGTTACCAATTTTGTTCTGTCTCCCAACCCCCCAACATTTCACCGACCAGTCCTAGACCTAGACTCTGTGTCTGTGGAAAGTTGGGTGTGAAAACGCCCGGCGCGAGAGGCAGTTTCACCAAATATCTGTTTTTTTAGGCTTGTCTTATGCAAGCTGTGCAGGAGTTGTAGCAAACATATTCCCTTGTCATGCTTTACCTGTCGGCATGTTTTGCGGATCGGAGCATCTGTTTAGAGGAAGTGACTGTGCATTTGTACGTCAAAATTATATAGTGTAAAAAATATGATGAAAGCGTGCGTTTCAACGGAGCATGCTTTTGTATGGCGTGCGTTTAGGCGGAGACTACTGTAGTGTCAGTCACTTAAATTTGGGCTAAGACACTTGCATGAGGTTGTCTCCTGCTCTTTGTTTGCTTCACATGTTGATGTTTGATTTTTTACATATTTCATTTTTTGAATCCTTGGACGAGTAGGGGCTCTCAGTTCCACTTTGTTAAGGTTTGTTCACCACACACTTGGTTCTGTAACTGGCATGTTACTTGAAATGGTTTCCCACCTCTCTTACTTTAAGTCAGTAGTTTGTGATTTTTGGGAACTGCCTGCAGCCTGCAAGTCCTGTGTACATTTGCTTTACTATTCCTCTTAACTATAGGTGTCACAACACAGTGAATCAAAGTGAATCAGGTGTTTGTTAATTTTGAGGTACATAGAATTATTGGTATCATCTTAAAGCTTGTTCGTTTACTTTGCTTTTGGTGAAAAAAAAAAAATACCCATCTAGTGTGAAGAGAAGTCAGGATATTTGCAATTGAAGGTGAAGGAGCTTGCCTGGTGTTAGACGTAAAATAAATGAAAAAATGGCCACCAAAGTTTGGTGAATTCCCAGCTTGAGTGGCCTTGGAAACTACATTACAAATTTTCATTTTTTGTGCCTTTGATCAACATATTTCTTTAAAAATCCACACAGAAATGGGTTTTTAAATTGGCATTGCTGACCCCCCCCCCCCCCCCACAATTTTTTAAAGATTGTATAATGGGTGGAGAAATTTGTTTCTACATTTTCATTTTTTTGGCAAGAGCACAATTTCTCCAGGATGCCACACATGGCTTTTTATTCTTTTGGTCTACATGAGTAGGCGTCTTGTTCGGAATGCGGAGTCCTTTTTGAGATTGCAAGTTGTTTTATTTCAATGTTGAACTGTTTTAGTTCAGCCTATGCAGTCATCTTATATTTATGATGGGGATATTTTTTGCCTGTACAAATTCTGAATATTAGAAGTCTATGATTTCCTGCAGGTTTGGTCATCTGGGCGTGTTGGCTACATCCCCATAATGTTTGTGCCTTGTCAAGATCTCCAACGCAGACAAGGCTTCAGTTTCAGACCTCTCAACTCTTCCACCCTCAAGTCCCCTTATTCACCATAATTGGCCTGTAATCTGTTATCCTGTTTTAAAATGTATGTTTATAATCTCCTCTTGACATTATTTGAGACTCTGGGAAGTGAACTGTTTTCTGACAGATGTTGTAAGAGCTGATATATTGTCCAAACTGATTGTGATGTCAACTGACATCATTAATTTAATAAAGAATGAATAATGAAGCATTTTTTTGTTCTTCTGTGTTGTTACATTGTTGTTGAATCCATATATAAAGACTAGGAACAAGTGACCTTTAAGTTATAAAACTTTTTTCTGTGATGGTTAAATTTGCTTTGAAAGTAAGCAGAAGATAGGGTGGGGGACTTTTTGCTTCTGGTAGTTTGTTTATTTTTTAAATTTATTTGGTAAAGGTTTTATGACTCTTGCAACTGCATAAGGTCATATGAGCGCCAAGGGGTTAATGTCAACAGAGAAGTCTGTACAGCGAATCAGGCTTACTCTGTTCACCCCTCTAGCTTTAACAGCACACAGTCTGTTTTGACTTTCAAGGCACCCCGGAAATAGCGGGTCACATGAGTGTGACAAACTTACAAAAGAAGTAGAGGAAAATCAAATGACGATAGTAAGGATTAGGTAAGAAAAAGCAAATGTTCCCTGTTGTAGTTCAGGCAAAGTTATAAGCTTGCGTAAGAACGAGAAATGTCCCCACTTTGGGAACGGCCTAAAGACACTTCAGTCGGGGGGGGGGGGGGGGTTGTGTTTTTTTTTTCATTTATTAGTAGTTGAAAGTAGTGGGGCTTTTTAAAAAAACTGCAAATCAATTGGACAAAAGGACTATTTTCACAGTGCAAGCTGAAAAAAGCCGCTATGGAAAATATTCTTTAAAATGTTACTGGAAAGGGCTTCATATTTCCCAGTAGTAGTAGTTATATTGGGCAAAGACAATTGAGGAGCTCAAGTCTTTATGCAAAGGAGTAGTGAACTTATGATAATTCAGTTATCAGTTTCAAAACTATATGAAATTGAGAACTGCTTGGTTTTGATCCCTGTCCTGGTGCATGTTAGCCCTGTGTCACTGTTAAACTGCAGAAATATGGAGAAAAAGCCTGTCTTTTATTATTTTTTTGGGGTAAGCGTTTTATGGCGCTTGCAACTGCATAAGGTCATATGAGCGTTCTGGACATATTAAACTCTTATCGATTTTGGACCTCCAAGGGATCTTTAACATGCGCAACTTGCACACAGGTCCTCCGAGATTTATCGCCCTTATCCAGAAAAGCTAGGTGTTTGATCCTACCTACCATAAGATCAAGGTTGTGGCTCAAAGACAGTAGAAAGGCTGCAGAAAGAGGGAAAGAGTCAGGAGCCCAGAGGAGGGTCAAAGTAGGTGAGGGGGTGGGGGCAGAAAGTGGAGAAGAAAGCAGATGACAGAACATTGTTAGAGAGCTGGAAAGGAGGTGAAAGGAGGACATTTTTGAAGAAAAAAAATTCCGTCGCCGCCTTCTAGATTCGAACCCAGGACCTATGGAATGAGAGGCGAACACTATGTAACCTCTCAACCACGAGAGCCCCTTGAAGCCTGTCTTTCTGTGTCATACAGTCTTTGTAAGTGGCTAATGATGTTCAAGTCAGAGATGCCCTCATTTTGATCAGTGTGTAACGCTCCTGTTTGAGATTGTTCTGTACAATGGTCTGCCCTGTGGGTGGAGGAGGGGGAAACAAAGGAGACCGACTGCACAATCTGGAGTTGCAAGACCTCTTATGATGAAAAAACCACTGCTTCATCTATGCTCTTACATCTGTGTGTGACATTTCCTTCTTTACTTCATTTCTTCTTTACTCTTTCCAGTGGTCTAAATTATACTAAAACTTTGCCTTCCAACTGACCCATGTTTGTCTAGGATATAAATAAAACTCATACAGTGGGTGTCGCATTCAACAAGTTGGCTCCTATGAGGCAATCCTTAATCCCCGATTTTTTCCTCTATATCTCTTTGTAAATGTACGTCAGTTCCAACGAGGTTGCAAACAGACCGAAGTCGCTCTCAACGAGGTCGCGATAACCAAATAAAAGCAATTAGCAGCCCCAAAATTGAATACTTTTTCTCCTTTCCATCTCACTCGAAGCACAAGGCCCATCCCCGATTCCTAACAAATTGTATTGCTAGATCTAGTGTGCCTCCTAATATGGGCCCCAAAGCCAAGAGGATGGGTGAGGGTTAGCCTACGGGAGGGGTTGGGTGGGAATGCGATGCGGGCTGTGTGAAACTGGATGAACTCTGGATGGGTAGGTCTAGATCAAGACTCATTTTTTTTCAATTTTCTTCTCTTCCCCTGCTCAGAAAATCCAAGCTTCCGTCTTTACTTTATGTAGATATCTAGGCCTTGATGTGAGAGGGTATGTTTCCATAAGAGAAGTGTTCCGGGGAAAAAATTTTTTAAAATGTAGAAATGACGATTAGAACACAGCTCAAGCACGCGTACACTGATGCTGTTTGAGATTTTCTTCTTCAGGGGGAGCAACTGTTTTAATTACTGGTATTGGTACATTGTGTAATATAATAACTTGTCTCCTTTCTTTTCTTTAGCCTTAGTCACGTTCAACGAGAGGTCAGATCCAACGAGGACAACTAGCCGGTCCCGGCAACCTCGTTGAATGGGACTCCCACTGTACAAAAATAAAATGGTGTCTATCTGGGTTCATAGGCTTTTTCACAGCGGAACATAAAAGTGACAGGGATCAAATGCTAAGAAAGTGAGTACTGGTTTTATGGAGTAAAAAGCCCCTCCATGCAATAGTTGTAATCACAACGTTCTGAAATTGAGGTTTTCATATCCACACAGGCATGTAATTACTGTCATGACCCCAGGCGTGTATGGATAGGATTAAAAAACCCAACTGCATACTATTTTTGAATAAAATCCAATTACTTCTCAGAAAAACAGTGCCAGCAAATAGTAAAAATATAGTGCAAAGTAATTATTTTTTGTACTGAAAAAAACAACCCAAGGAAGTATTTGGTCTGTTAAAAAAAACAGGATTGAATTGAACAAGAAGAAGAGTGTAATTTTCTGTCTCTCAAAGGACAGAATGTCCTTTGTGAGGACTTTGCATTTACACCTTTTCTTCACTACAGCATTACCAATAGTTTTGAAAGGCAAAAGCGATTTTCTTAGTCACAGGGTAACACATACAAAAACAAGACAGAGCTCAATGCAAAGCAAGTGAGTACTGGTTTTATCATCCATGAGGAAAAAGCCCCTCCATGCAATAGCTGTAATCATGACGCTCTGAAATTTTGAACAATACTGGTTTCCATATATCTACACAGGCATGTAATTACTGTAATTACCTGTTGATATTCAGGTTCATTTACAGAATAGATAGAGGCTGTTGTGTGGATTATGCATATTGCAAATGTTCAAAATTAGATTTTGAAGTTGATTTTTATTTGACAATAATAAAAGTATTAAAAGTGAAACCAAAACTGAGCTTTCAGAGAATGTTTATTGCTTATATTGCTGCTGGTTCTAAAAGAAGACTCAAAAATGTATCACACAGTCATGTTTAGAGTAAAATCACATGTCAAACTCTTAAGTCTTCCAGACTAAATATGGAACTTCTGGAATCACTGATGTTAACAATAAATCTGTTTGTCGTGATGTTGCATGCTGAGTAAAGTTTGCACAATGTAAGTCTTTGCAGTCCAATATTCTTCTGAATGTGTCAAAATAAAACTTTACCAAAAATGTGCATCATTTTGACATTTCTAAATATCCCTGATTCATATCTTAACCCAACTGCATACTATCCTAATTTTTGAATAAAATCCATTCACTTCTCAGAAAAACAGTGTAAGCAAATAGTAAAAATATAGGGCAAAGTAATTATTTCAGGCTTCTACTAAAAAAAACAACAAGTAAGTATTTGGTCTGTTAAAAAAACAAAGGATTGAATTGAATAAAATGAAGAACACAACTTTTTATCTTTCAATGGACAATGTCTTTTGTGAGGACTTTGCGTTTGCTCTTTGTCTTCACCACAGCATTATCAATACTTCTAAAAAGCAAAAGCAATGTTCTTAGTACTTAAAGATTGTGACGACTTTTTCACAGGGTGACACATACAAAAGTAAGACAGAGCTCGATGCAAAGCAAGTGAGTGCAGGTTTTATGGAGGAGAAAGCCCCTCCATGCAATAGCGGTAATCACAACGCTCTGAAATTTTGAATAATACTGGTTTCGATATCCACTCAGGAATGTAATTACTGTCATTACCTGTTGATATTCAAGTTCATTTAAAGAAAAGGGATAGAGGCTGCTCTGGTGACCATGCATTGCAAATGTTCAAAATTTGATTTTGAAGTTGATTTTTATTTGAAGATAAAGTGAAACCAAAACTGGTGAGCATTCAGAGAATGTTTATTGCTTATATTGCTGCTTGTTCTAAAAGAAGACTCAAAAATGTATCACACAGTCATGTTTATAGTAAAATCACATGTCAAACTCTGAAGTCCTCCAGATTAATCTGGAATCACTGATGTTAACAATAAGTCGTGTTTGTCATGATGTAGCATACTGAATAAAGTTTGCACATGTCTTTGCACTTCATTTTGACATTTATCAATATCCTTGATTCATATTAAAAAACTCATCTACATACTATTTTAAAATAAAATCCGATCACTTCTCAGAAAAACTGACAGAAAAAACTAAATATAGTGCAAAGTAATTATTTCATGTGTCTACTGAAAAAAAGGAAGTATTTGGTCTGTTAAAAAATCAAAAAAGAAGAATGTAACTTTCTGTCTTTTAATGTACAGAATGTCTTTTGCTCTTTTTCTTCACTACAGCAGTATCAATACTTTTGAAAAGCAAAAGCAATTTTCTTGGTACTTAAAGATTGAGACACAATTTTAATTGAAAATGCACACAAAAAACCATTATAAGGGCATGTATAAATAAACCACTTACTTGGGGGAAGGGAGAAATCAGCAGTGTAGAGTAAAAAAAATCTGTATACATAAACACAGTATATAATACATTTTCGGTATCAGTGAGCATCAACAGTGGATTTGTAACAGTAAATCAAGAAATGTCTTCTTGGAGCAAATAAAGTCAAATATAAAAGTGATATGAACAGGGAGCCAGACGTTATAACAGTACTGTGGTAGAAATTGCAACTGAAATGTAAAAACAAGAAAAAGAACAGTACAAAATATTCAAACCAAAAAAGACAGACAGACTCTAATGAGATAAATAAAACTTAAAACAAGGGTAAAGTGCGTGAGGATATTGAAAATGAAAACCACACCTGTTCTAAGTCAAAAAATAATCTGCTGACAGAATGTTCACAGCCATCATTCAGATTGCACTTTTTTTTTTCTTTATGGCAAACCAGAAACCTTGTTAAAAATATACATCTAATCATTACTCAGGGTTAAAATTCCATCAAAACTCCTGAACAGGTTGCAGACATTCTTTTCAGTCCTGTGCTGTAGACAATGTAAGTAACAATATAATATATATATACGTGTACAATATTTTATATAAAGTGCAGGTCACTCAACCTTGTTACATTATTGAAATATTTGGGGTATCAAATGCTATGTTTGAGAGAGGTAGACAAGTCAATACATCAGACCAAAAAGGTATTTTCAAATACATTTAACTTAAAAGTATAAAAATTATCTTAGTTTGTTTATGTGTAACCAAAGTCCTCAAAAACTACCCCATGACATGCATGCCTTATTGCTTGGGTTTACAAGTTTTCAATTATTTCTCTATGGTGTTTCTATTGTCAGTTACGGCCTGCCTTTGGCTGGAGAGAATATAAGTACTAACCACAAAGGCTCAATTCTTGGCTGGATAACTTACAGTCACAATTTCATCAAGTCATATATGAATTCCCCCGCAGGTATTGACAAGTTTGCACTACTTCACTCTTTCCAGAGCTTCTACAAAATGTTGAGACCTGATGTATGGCGAAGTAAAGGGCAAATTGCACTGGTGAAAGGGGAGCTAATATCAACAATTTAATTAGTTTGATATAAATGCAAATATACAAAAGAAAGGTGCACATAATAATATAATAGGACATTAGAGTAGATTTTAAAAAGTATTATATTTGAGACCAAATTCAAATACAAAGAACAGAGTATATGCTACTCCCATTTCCCTTATTCCTTCCTCTGCCTTAAAGATACGAGAAAGAGGAAATAGCAACTGACATCATATCTTTGTCATATACTTCAAATAGTTATGATTACCAATACATGCGATTTTGCTACTGGATTGACATTATTACATTTAACGGTTACACAAACTTTCAAGAATCAAGAAATTATGTTCAGTGCTGATAGAAGCCAGTATGCACTCGTGCTTTGATGTCATAGGGCAGAGAATAAGTTCTCTTTTCAGATGAGTACTTGAAGTCTCTTCGTCCTGAACCCAGTGTTGCTCACATGTAGACTATGTTTATTACATGAAAATATGTAGCAACTAGGACAGTAAATGTTTACATCATTTTGACACGCCATTTCAACTTTATTTCGACGATGCCCTTTCACATCACAGGTTTTTTTCATATTTTTCTTCCTATTCAGTAAAAATTTTGTAGTCATGAATTTCACTGATTTGGTGACCTGAGCACTTTCACAGTACTTTGAAATTAAATAGAATAAGATCTGAAAAATATACAAATGTCAAGATTCACAGAAAAATTAAGGCATAAACTGACTTTTGACAAACTTGTCAACCCTGTTTGAAGAAATCGAATAGAAAAGAAAAGCTGTACAACGGTATATCTACATTTAAAGTGTTAAGTTCAATAAGACAGTGATGGTTTTTTTAAAAAGCCAGAAAAAAGACTATAGGTTATCACAGGTCACGGTATAGAAATAGAATTAAAAAGTAATTTACAACATATTTATGCTCAACAAAGTATGTTTCATATAGTGTATAAAAAGACAAGTTATGCAATACAGGGTAGGGACCTACTTAAAAATGGGTGAACAAGAGACTTAAAATGCTAGATCTTATACACTGAGAGAAAAAACAATTTTTCCCCCCTTACTTAGAGTCTTAACTGACTCGGCCCGCAGATCATTTTGACTTTGACTTCAGATGCAAATAATGTAATGTGATCGCTTCGTGACCTCACGGGTGGTCTCAGAAAAAATTAATAAAGAAATATCTAAATTTGATAAAACCTTATGTGTGGCACATAGAAATGTTCAGAAAAAAAGACGAGAAGAAAGCAATGCTAAGAAAAGGGAGCAATATATAAGAGCGGCTCTGCGTCAAAACACAGGAGACAGTCAGCCGCTGTTAGAGGCGCTGCGGGCTGAATCAGTTAGTCTAGTTGCACATTCTTACAAGAGGACCTCTTGCTATGCATGCAGTAGCTCTTCACTAGTGGAAGATAGCTGTGTAGAGATTAATGCTGATAATAAAAAGTGACCCAAACATAACTCCACAGACCAGAATGTGGATGAAAAAAAGAATTTGTAGATATTAGGATAAGACAAACATTTTCCATTTTTTACAAATTTAAGTGACCAGATTATCTTAGGTCTTTGAAACCAACATTTACATCATTTTTTAAAGGGGAAAAAAATAAATAAAAAATTAGCTAATTCTACGAAAAATTCAAAATAGATGTGATTAAAAAATTATTTCCTGTCTACTGCATTCAAAAGTATCCATAAAAGAAGAAAATGAATTTGCTATCGTAAAATTTGTTTGAAAGCCGTTAGATCTAACATAAACTTAACAAACATTTTTCTGTTTGGAAAAGCATTTTGAACACCCCTTTTAACAAACAGAAAGGACACACAATATGTGCAGCTATTCATTTTTCCATGTACAAAGATACATCTGCATAAAAAAAGATGCTTCGATTTCAGGCCTGACAGGTGTTTGTGATTTGATGCATTCAAGTGGCCTTCACAATGCGTTAAAAAAATTAAAACAGGTAAGTTTTGAACAAAGTACACATACCTTCCAGCTGGTTCCTATTACCAGACAGAACCTAATTACAGTATAATATTGTTCTATTCCTGTCACTCTTTTGTTTTCAATGAGGATATGATAGCAAACACTGCCGCATACTATGACAGTATAGGGTTGCATTAGTATCTAGCAAAATGTTCAGAGCTTTGAGGATTGTATAAAACAAAAAATGAACCAACATACGAGTAAAGCAGGATGAAATATCTTGGGCACAATACAAAAAAAAAGCTGTACATGTTTGAGAATGGTACCCTTTATTTTGAAACAAAATGAAAAGAGTTAAGCAGTTGGTCAAAATGAGGGAATGTACTTTTTGAATATCACAGACAGTCAAATAAGACTCAACATGCCATAAAAATATATATGTGTATCACAGTGTTCCTGTGCGTATAGCACTAACAAATATTGAAAAAAACCCAACATATTCATACAAGACTTTATAGAGTAATTTTCAATCCATATCTTTTCTGAAAGATGACTTGGAACAACTTGTCAGTCATGGATTTATCCAGTCTGATAGCCCCTGCAACAGAAACATTTGACACATTCTAAGCAATTACTACCAATCAGTCAAATGTATGAGTGGGCGTGTATGTGTTTGTGTGTGTGTGTGTGTGCGTGTGTGTGTGTATGTGTGTGTGTGTGTGCATGTGAGGGTGTAAATGTGTGCACAATCATTTTCAAGTTGTTTTAAACACTTGGATATGGGATACAAAGCAACAAGTAGTTCTATCTAGACCCTAATACTCTTAATGAGTAAACTCAGTTTTCATACGACAGCCATAAGCTAGTAGCTGAGAGGGTGAAAAAAAATAGTCAAAGAAAGAACCCCACAAGAAAATGGTTGTCAGATGAGAGGAGGGCAATGTCACTAAACAGCCACTGTTACCATTGTTAATGTAGCCTACTGAAATTAAGAAGAATGAGGGAGAAATACAGTGGAAAGCAAGGCTACAGCTTTTACAGGTTAACCCTATCCGTACATCGTGTTTTACTATCGTATCCATTTGATGTGGGGAACTCTGTGCCACCACTTTCCAAAGACGAAATTAACTCGTTAATCCGATCCCTACGCTTTGCATAGCAGTCTGTCAAAATGTTTTTTTGAGAAATACTGGAACTGGAAGTTTCTTGGATTGAGCAGTTCTTGGAAGTAATTTTCCAAGAACTGCTCAACCCAGACGCTTGCCACGGACAACAAGTAGAGTTCCAACCATCCTATGGAGATCAAACAGAACCACCAATACTTCCCAGTGAAATAGAAAAGGCACTCAAGAAAAGCCCCAAGAACAAAGCCCCAGGACCAGATGACATCACAGCGGAAGCCATAAGAGCTTGTGGAAACACCGGTATACTGTGGCTGAGGTGTATTTTCAACAGAGCCTGGGAACAAAAAAAATGCCCAGAAGACTGTCAGAAAGCAATAGTGGTACCATTATGGGAAAAAAGGGCAACAAACGCGACTGCACAACATATAGAGGCATCTCATAGTTAAGCCGCTCAGGAAAAATGTATGCAAAGATACTAGAGCAGCGCATAAGACCTATTGTAGAGAGAAATCTGAGCAAAGCTCAGTTTGGATTCCGAAAGGGAAGAGGATGCACGGATGCCGTATTCGCATTACGACAGATATGCGAGAAAACAATAGAACACAACAAAGAATCCAACATCGTCTTTATAGACCAGGAGAAGGCTTTTGACAGATTAAACAATGCAAAACTCTGGAAGACACTCGAAAAGTATGGCGTCAAAGGACAATAGTTAGATAATATCAGAGCTCTATATACCAACAGCAGAAGCTCAGTAAGAACGAAGGAAGGAAATACAGACTGGTTCAAAGTAAGATCTGGAGTACAACAGGGATGCGTTCTATCTCCCCTCCTGTTTATAATATATATGGACACAATAACGCAAGAAGCAAACCAAAGCCCAGAAAGCCTAAATGAATTTCTGTTCGCAGATGACCAATGTCTAATTCATCATGACCAACAAAGCCTCCAAAATCACACTACCGAACTCAACAACACCTGTGAGAAATTCAACATGAAAACAAGCACATCAAAAACAGAAGTTATGAAGGTGAGCCGAAACCATAGTCCCCTGAACATCTATGTCAATAGTAAACAACTGAAATAGGTGAAAGAGTTTAAATATCTTGGCAGCAATTTTTTTGAAAACGGGTCCATAGACAGAGAAATAGAATTGCGAACTCAAAAAACCAACGCTGTCACCTACCAGCTCGCACCCCTTCTATCTCATCCAAACATCTCTATGGACACAAAGAGAGAGCTTATCACCTCAATATTCATACCAACATTATGTTATCAGTACCAGACCTGGACCTTAAGCAAAACCCATGAAAGCAAAATCACCGCCTGCGAAATGAAATGTCTCCGCAAAACCCTTAACATCACAAGACGAGACAGGCAGAGAAATGAAGAAGTAAGAGCAGCTATCGGCACTGAGTCCTGCCTGCGTTACATAGAAAGACAGAGGATAAAATGTTTGGCCACCTGTTACGCATGTCACCTGACCAGCCAGCCTTGAGAGCCTACAACACCAAGCACTCAGGCTATAAAGGAAGAGGAAAACATTACAAACATCTTCTATTTTGGTGCTGTGGAATTTCAACAACTAAATAGACCCAGTGTATTGTCAAAACACAGAGCTGAGGGGGAAAAACTCTCAGAAAGATAACAAAATTTTGACTCCATTTGGACTTGAGGCCTGAACTTCTATGCACTGGCCAAGTTTGTGAACTGCTCTTGCAGCCATCAGTGAACACAAGAGGAAAAGGAGCAAAAGAAAAATTGAAAGAAACAAATTTAAAAACTGATGAAAGAATGAAATGGCACTTACTTGATCCTGATTTGAGTGTTGGATTTGAAGACAATGGAAAATTCTTTCTGGGTGTTTGGTTCATCCATATGGACCACTGCCACGTACTTTCCCGGAGGGAGCATGTACCGAACATCAACATCCCAGGAGATCATAAACTTGGCCTGACTGCCTTCCAGGTGGTTGGGGCTGTCGTTGTAGTGGTCATACAAGTAGTTGATGTCCAGGGGAGGTTTGGCTCCTGAGCCAAGCTGAATGTGGAGAGAATAACGCATGTGGGAGTGTACCGAGAAGTAGGCTACCAAATCTATCTGTTTGCTATTGTAAAGGGTAGTTTTACAGAAAAAAGGACAACCCTATATTAAGGTTTGCTGATTTCTGTAAAGAAACCATCATATCAAAATTCACTTATGAAACTGTTCTGAATGGATTCAGAATTGACACAATCACTGAAAAACATTAATTCATCTCTTGCAATAGTGAGCCCAGGAGTACTAGGCCAACAAACGGTCTTTTGTGTACATAAGATAAACCAAAGCTAAAAATGCCCTTTTACTTCTACCGAAAGCTTGTACAGTCCATGCCGGCTTTAAGAATGGTCATCGGGAGAAAGCTTAAGCTTGCTTAATGCCGAAGCGTGCTTGAGTGCGAAGTAGACATAATCCAGAGATTTTCATGTAGAAAATGTTCTGTGCTATTTCCCTTAGTTTGTAAGTAGGCCTACAGCGGTCCCGCAAATGTGTGCACTGTTATTTTTATTCGCCATGGTAGTTTTTGTCTGCTTGTTTGTTTTTGTTTTGTGGTCGAATTGGAAATGAAAACTTAATTTAGACGACCAGTCACGATACAGCACACTAGGCCTACACACTGCCTGTGCGTACCACTGGCCGTTGTGCCACATTCATACCACCGCCTTCATCCCTCCTCGCGCGTGAGACACAATCAGGATTAATGGATAGCAAGGGTCAAAGGTGAGATTGCAGCCAGCCTTCCTTTCTCATCTCCCCGACTTTTTTGGTATTTTTTTTTGTCTGTGTGTAGCTTTGGCCTAGGCTACATCCTATGTCCACGTGCGCGGCTGAGAACATCTCTCTGCCTTCCTCTCTGCCCGTGTGAGTTCGTGTCTCCATCACTTGCGTTCTTTCACTTTGTGTTTCTCTTAAAACACTCCTCTGCTGTGGTGTAGACTGTGTTCGACCTTCAATGGGTCATCATGAAAGTATTGACTGTCTTGTAAATGAAGCGTGCCTGAAGCCGAAGTTACCGTGCTTAAAGACGTGTAATTTATATTGTAAAAATTCGGTAAGAGCCATTTAGTGTGCTTGAGTCCCAAACATGTTTTATGCCAGCGTGCTTAAAGCAGGCACGGACTGTATAATTTATCTGAGACGGGAAGATGGGATATCTAAAGCAAGTTTCCCAATTCTGGTCTCTTCTTTTATCCCAAGGTCATGTAACAGTAAAATATCCGTCAAGAGAAAAATGAGTAAACTAATGTAGAGCTACATATTTTTTGCTTGTTGATCAAACATTATAGAGAAGACTTGCAATCAGTTTGAGGGAAAAAAATTGTCCAGTGCCTTGCATTGATGTAGATACAGTGTTTATGATAGAAAAAGTATGCATCATAAATGAAAAGATGAAGGCCTATCAGTATCTGTCAATCTAGTGACTGTCTGAGTGTGTCTGTGTGTACTTTGTTTTGAAGATTCACTTACATTGAACAGCCTGATGCCCACAGGGTACTGGGGCTCTTCTTGGACTTGCATAATGTGCACAACCAGAGGTACATCTCGACCTGGACAGAAAAGCGTTGAGTGCTCAAAGAGTCTGCTTTGTCTTGTTGTTCTTATCAAACAGATTATGAGATAAAAACAAACAAATTTCGCTTTTTGCATAAGTTCTACTTTTTGGTATTGCCACTTGACACTTTTTCACAAAATGTGTGTAATCAGGAATAACCTGCATTGACACCACAGAAAAATAATAACATTTTCCACAAAAATAGCAATAAATGTGCAATTTTCCTTACATATATATGCAGTCACATACCAAACATTATAAGTATAAGCAGAACAAGCATGCACTCACCTGCACATACTTAAATCAGTGATGAAAATAGGCCTACCTTTGTCAGGGATGTTGATGAGGTACTGAGGATTGAGGTGGTAGCTGTCTCTATGTGACACTTGACCTCCGGCATTCTGACCCGCGATAAACTCTCCAAACAAGGTTTTGTCAAAGCCTGAGAGGAAAAGCATATCAGAACTTAACTGACCAGTCTATAAATGTACAGAACAAAGTGAAAGATTAATGTTACACGTTACCGCTGAATAAAATGTTTATTTCTGGGACATGATATAAATTGAGGAGTACATATATCTGTTTTGACATTACAACTTTGAGTGTGAAGTAAATATTTCGTACTCAGTGAAATAGGCTGTATACAAGTGTTTCAGAAAATAAACTTGGAACACGATTACATTATTACAGGACGCAAAGATCTAAGCTACGGTGGCAAATACCATATCATAATAATCATGTCACTCCAAGGTACAAAGCCTAGATAAGCTAACCCCCCCTCCCTTACCTTATTTAGGCCACATATGGCCTATATAAGCTAGCCCCCTACCTGACCTTATTTAGGCCACATAGAGAGAGAAAACCCTCTTCACACCCATCTTCCATCACAGCAGGACATGTAATGAATCTACAATCAATTTAAGGTCCTTTTCTGTATCTCTACAAACATGCAGTTAAAAACCTGTGCCGTTGGTAGATCTACATGTCGGAATTACCTGTACTGAATTTATTAATAAATGTGTATTTTCTTCGAAAGTGGATAGGTGAACCTCGGGGTGTAGCCTAACATCGTCTAGTGTTAGGGTACGGCAAGGTTTTAAAAAGAAGAAGAAAAAAACCATGTTGGGCAGACTTGGTTCGACATTATTTAAGTTAAACGTTTACCTAAATTATCATTCTTAATTTATTTTTTGTACTTTAAAAAAAAAAAAAGTGGTTTGTTTAAATTGGGGGGGGGGGGGGGGGGGGTGTAAATCATCCCAGCAAATATGATGTATCTAACTGAATCTAGAGTAACACTGCCACCGGGTAATACTGAATGTCTTTGTATTTAGAGTTTAGTTTAGTTTGAGTAGAGGTTTTACGGCACTCGCAACTGCATAAAGTCATAAAAGCGCCAGAAGATTAGAGGAGTTACAAGAGAGTAACAAACATAAAAAAGAAGAAGGTGAAATAAGGACGACAGATGTTTGATAGGAAAGAAGAAGCAAATCACACCAGAACACCCGCCAACCACCCACTTGTATTTTGAGGACTTGAGATAAACAACAGATTCGAATAGCATGGTTATGCTGATACTGATAGGCTAGTCCTACTACATTAGATCATGTATACAGCAGTTTTTTAATTTTTTAAGTAGATTTCTAGAACTAATCACGGATTCGCAAAAACGAGACTCTATTGATCTTTTATTTTGTGAGGGGGATTATTTCAAAATAGAGGAATGATTATGAATGAAAAGTGGACAAAGGGTAGGAGTTATGTGTGTGTGTGTGCACATGTGTGTGTATGTGTTTGTGTGTGTGGTTGTAGTGAGAGAGAGAGAGTAAATGTAATAGTGTGTTTGTATGTGTGAGTGTTTGTGTGTGTGTGTAACGTGTGTACGTGCGTGAATGTTATTGTGTTCGTGAGTGTCTATATGAGTTGTACGATCCAAATGTACTTTATTTTGTTGAGAATTTTACATAGAATGCACACAACTACAAAACACCTCTTTACAAAGTCACAGAAATACTTTTTTTGTTCTTATAGAGAGGTACAGTACAGGGTGACAACCGCAAGGATAATCGGTGAAAAAAGGGTCAATATCTTTACTGCTAATGGTCATACTTAGACAAATTCTACATCATTCTCTTTGTTTTTCTTAACTGCTCATGATTATTAAAGAGTAAGCCAACAAGGTAGTAATTTCCTAATCTTATGGGTATTCTTAAAATTTCAAAACTTGTTTTTAGCGCTTTTCTCAACGTAAAACGGATTCCGTTGTTAAAAAACCCAATGACCATAAGACAGCTCCTTATTCTTCTTTTTCAAAGTATTGTGCATACATTTGGGTGAAACTATACTTTATGCTCTCAAGTACAAAATAAAGCAAAATGTTCTTCAGAGACATAGTAGGCCCACTGGAATATATATAAACCGCGGAAAGATGACCAGAAAATAACAAGACCATCCTATGATCTTCACTTGCACTTGCAATTTTTAAGACAAATTATTGTCTAACTCATTATCTTCACACATTTTTCTTCATTTTTCATGACAACTGTTGTTTTCAGTTATTATCAATTGTCAATTTTCATTGATTAGCACAATTTAAAAAAATAATATTGAAACACTAGAAAGTCCACTGCTAATGCTATTCTTATCAAAGAAAATGGCACAATTTGATAATGTAAAAATATACTGAAAATAAAACCATAAAATTATTATACAGGCCAACTGAAAGACTGAGCAGATGCTTATAATCTCTGTTCTCTACCAGAATAGTAAGTTTGCGCAGAACAGATTTAGAGGGAAAAAGTTGTATCAAATAAAAGTAAAACTGATTGTTATGGTGAAATTTGTTATTATTAACTCTGAAACTGCCCTAGAACTATGCAATTCTTTTTATTTAAATTCCAAAGATCAAAGCAAGGATGTTATACATGCTGCAAATAATTTAGATCTAGCAGATGTAGGCTCTCTGGCTGCTTCTAGCCTACTTTACTACTACTGATTCTCGAGAGGGAATCTAGATCTAGCTATCCCCTGCACTATTGAAAAATCAAATATGGTAAAATGAACAGAAAACCCTGAATTGTTTTGTCAGTCAGTACATCACAATTGCCATAGCCGCACGAATTAATAGTTGAATAATGCGATGCCAAAGCAACACGTTATCACAGTGTGCAGGGGAGAACGGGGTGCCCGCATCGCTGACCATTCGGTGGTTCGGCTTTCGTAGATCCAGAACTATGCATTTTTACGGAAAGCCCTATTAGCATTGTGAAAACTTCAACCTATACAGCTCAGGCGTCAAAAGATGTTGGAAAATAATAATACGTCTTGAAGTTTCATAATACAGTCGAACCTGCCCTGACGGCCACCTCCATAAGACGGCCACCCGTACAAACGGCCACTTTCCATTTCCCCCCTTGTGTTTTTTCTATATAATTTAACTGTGTAAAACAGGCACCTGTCCAACGCAGCCGCGGCCACCATATTTTAACACACAACCCCTATCAAACTAAGCAATAACACCTGTCTTAGACGGCCACCATAGTGACTCCATTACGTTTTGTCATAAATTATGCATTGGCCCCTGGCGTTGTGGGCGAGCCGTCATAATTCAATCACCTGTCGTTGTTGTTAGGTAGTCCCTCCAACCGATCATGTTGCGTTGCCCCCTCCCCCCCACTGTTGACCAATAGCTACCAATTTTCAGCTGCTGGTGAGGTAAGCGTGTGGTCCCTCATAACCCATAAGCCCCGCCTAGAACTCATGCACAAATCGTAATTGATATGAGTGGTCACTGTTTACCCAGTCTGTAACAAAGTACAATGTAACAATGGACGTCAACATGAACTTGTGACAGAAGCGTCACTCGTTCTCCGAGTTGTGGCGACCCATGTGTTTGTTTTAACACGCATGGCACTCGGTCTTTCTCGTCTGATACATTTCGTTTTATTGTCACCCTTGTGCAAAATCAGCAACAAAATAAAAATTACAAACAAAATACAAACCACCACCACCACCAACAACAACAACAAAAACAACAACAATGCAGCTACTTTCGATTAGGGCTTGTTTCCTTCATCTTGATCAGTCCTGCCTAAGACGGCCACCTGTCTTATACGGCCACTTTTCTCCTTGACAATGGGTGGCTGTCTTACACAGGTTTGACTGTATACAGAATAAGACAGCCAGTAGTTTTTATTTCATCGCGTTGTAAAAATTGCCTTGTTTTCAGAGCCAAATTTTAATATTTCCAGTTCTACCGAATCGATTTGGACGCGAAGACCACCATTTTGATGATCTTTCTTTTCCTTTTAAAAAGATATAGGCCTGTTGGATGTAGCAGTGCGATAAACAAAACTTGAGTTGTTTAGACCCATCAAAACACGAGGCTTCGTGGCCAATCACAAAAGTCTACAGGGCATATCGAGGCCGATTTGCCCTGCCGCGTGCACGTTCACTAAACTGCCTGCTACTACTACGAAACAGTACGAGAGAGAGCCACTAAGGCAAAGATAGTGTAACTTTGACAGTCAAAGTGCACGTTGTGTACACACTCTTTATACACCAAATTTGACCTGGAAGTCCATTCGGAGGATTTGACCTTTTCACTTGACCAAAGTGTGCCAAAATGGTAGCCTAGCTTTTGCCTCTCAAAGAAGGAAAAATCTGGCCCTCATTCAAACCATTGGGATTGAGCAAAATTTTGCATATTTGCGTATTGTGCTTTGTTCTTACAATTTTCATTATGATTATGATTAATAAGTTGTACACAGAGACAAAACTGTACTAAATGAGAAAGGTGCTCCATTATGAAAGTGGAATGAACTCAGTTGTGTGAAAAGGGTAGTTTGAGCTTATATGTGGCCTAAATAATGTTCCGGGGAGGGGGAAACCTTATTAAGGCGGTGACCTTATTTAGGTCGTATGAGGCCTAAATAAGCACTCCCTTATTTTTTTGTCAAGAGTAGACTACATATAAATAGCAACATTGAACAGGTGAAGAAGGAGCAGACAGTACAAAGCACCAGCGAATAACCTGTAGCTTAATGAAAACATTGGTGATGTCTTATCGGGAAGAAGAAATTTCAGCATGGACCCCTGAAAAGATGCTCCAGTTTAATTATACAATAGTCACTGTCTGAGATCCAGGTACTTGGGAATGATGAAAAATCAGGAAGATAAACTAACAGGATGTTTGAGGGTTTGAGGAGAGAACAAGTCATAATCGAATTAAAACAGCTAGGCCTACTCCATACTATAAAATCAAGCGAAATGACCTCCGTGAAGTAAATACTGAATGAAGAGTCATGTAATTGACTGGTTACAACATGCTTTCATTATCATCAATTGTCAGGTCTGCAACAGACATCAGCAATCATCGTTCTCCATTTATTTCTTTGCTCTAATGCTCTAAAAAAGCTATATTCCTTGCTTTAATTTTCAGTTTTGACATCTGGTTTCACACCCTTTACTTTGTAAAAAATTACAATTTTAACTTGCAGCTTCACTATGTAAAAAGAGTTAGAATAGTGATCACAACAAGGCCAAAACAAGCAGAAAAAGTTCACGTACTAAGTTTTTCAACTCTGCCGTTAATTTCCAGAGTCTCCTCATTTTCACAAGACACAAGATTCACATCCGGCGTGATTTCCCTGAAAAGTATACAAGACATTATAATGTGAAGGAATACATATATTTAACTTTAAAAAAGTAAATGTGCAAATTTTATTCCCCTGTCCACCACACAATATAGATCATTACGAAGACGGGCTGCTTCAACCCTGCCTGTCAGGACCAAACAGGGCTGAGCTCATGAGAGGAATACAACGTCCCAGGAGAAATATAGAGATATTCTATAAAAATAATCCCAATATTGGAGTCAAACTCATGTCTTTGGCAGGTGATGGTGAAGCACCCAACAAACGCAGGTAAGGTGTTTGACAATAAAAAAAAGATTTTCATTTATGAGCAGAAAGTAAGTGTCATTTAACAGTTTCGTTTTCTGGGACGTTGTTGCTGTTGTTAGCAATCCAGTAGCATCTGAGTGTTAACTCTTCTGCACGATGCCCTTCCGTAATAGCTGCATGTCTGTTCTAATTGTTGTCTTGAGGAGTAGAAGCAGTTCGATGTGTGGGGTAGCTTAGGAAGAAAACATCCCCTTAAATCGGTTAGTTTTCTACAGAAGAAAAGATGATGTTCCACTGTCTCTGAGGGGTAGTCACATAGTGGGCAGGCAGCAGACTGCTTTATTCCAATTTGGATGAGATGTTGATTGAGGGGCACATATTGTGTTCTAAGTTGGCAGATTATGGATTGATCTCCCCTACTCAACTCATTGATTGGATCTTTGACCAGTGGTTTATTCATGTGGCCATATATCATCCTTCCTGTCATATCTGTGGCCGGTTGTGAATTGATCATTTGGCGGCAGGTGGTGAAATCAGTAAGAATATCAGGCTGAGGGAGGCTAGCTCCTCTCTTTGCTAGAGCATCAGCTCTTTCATTTCCCGGTATCCCAGTGTGAGCAGGAATCCATTGTAGGACCACTTTGATGTGGTGCCTACTTATCAAATTATGTAGACTCCAAATCCAGTGTGATATATTGTTTTCTGGGATGTAAGACACATTTTGATTGATTGCTACTCACAATGGAACTGCATTCCAACATTCTTCTTTTCATTTTGTGACAAAACCGTAAATATCTTGATATCTGATCATGCTGTTTTGTATGAGCCAAGGGCATGCTTCAAGAAACCTTAAACTGATCTTTCTCTCAGATTCATAGAAAGGGAAACATTATTACCCAGTGTTATAGCCCAGTATACAGATTTTTGTTTTTTTAATTAATAAAAAAACATTGTTTCAAAATGAGACCTGCTGAGCATGTGGTCAACTTAAATTACAGTTCATACTTTATCAGAGTCAAACAAAATTATGAGAGTGAAAACATACTTCGGATCATTTCCATAGAGATGATTATATTCAGCTCATTTCAATGAAATAAACATACTTGATGTTCAAAAGTGGTGCTGAACTGAAGGCACGGAGCAAGAATGCCTTTTCCAAACCTTCATCTAAGGTAGATGGGACCAGCATGTAGCGACCGGGTTTGAGCTTGTGTCGGAAAGAGGTCTGCAGCTCTGGAGCATACACATTAGTTTTCTGGCCTTGAATTTCCATTGCAATACATCTTCCAGTTGGTTTGATTCTGTCTCCAAGGATCTAAATGTTGAGATTAAAAAAATATAAAAAAAGAGACAAGAAAAATGTCAGAAAAATCACTTTAAAAAACTTGATAATCACAAAAGTTTTTTTTTTTTTGGGGGGGGGGGGTCACATAGAAAACATAATCAGAAGTATTCACCTTCTTGTTGGTTCCAGTCCTGTCTCCACAGAAATATTAAAGTATAGATTTGAACAAGGCCCTTGGCTATAAGAAAATGAAAAGCGCTGTAAAGACTGATAAGTGTTGACATGTAGAAAGGGAAAAGAAGGAACAGAGAGGCATAAAGTACAGAAATGGGAGAGAAGAGCTCAGGAAATGTCAGGGTCAGGGTTCTAAGAGCTATTCTTGAAATGGATGATTTCAGGTTGTAGACTGGCAGAAGTAAAGAGGAGTGTATGAAAACAATTCACCAGCAGAGAAAAAAGCAGAAACCTCACTAAGGAGAGAGGAAGTTTAGTGTTCTTCCTCCATGAAAGGTAGGATGACCAAATATATTTGATTTAAAAAAACAGACGACAATTCAAATACAACTGCAATAACATAATTTTTCCAAATGTACTACTGCTCTGGTAAGAATTTGTTTATTGTAGAGACAAACATTCTCATAAATGTTTATAAAGATAACCACTGCCTATATGTGTCTTTCAGCTTATCGCTGATCATACTGCACGCCATCTATACAGGGTTTTTTTTAAGTTAATAGATTTTGGCATACAAAAAGTTTTGGATGCCCACTAATATCATTATAATAGTGGCTTGACTGTCAAGGAAAAGTTATCTATGATTTCAAGCAAGCAAACTGACAAACCTTGAAAATATCACAGCGGACTGAAATATTGTCAGCCTTCCTTTTCTGGGACTGCTGAATTATTTGAGCAACAAAAGGAACAGTTCCATCCTCCATCATACCTGTGAGAAGCATAAAGTACATAAATGTCATTTCTTAAAATAATTCAATATAAATCAAAATATCTTTGCTTACAAGTCAAATTTCAGAAAAAAAGAATCTCAGATTAACAGAGCCTGTTTAAAGTCAAGCATTTCATTCCTGACTGAACTATTCTACACTTTGTAATTTCATCATTCAATTCAAACACATGTTTGTATAGACGACAAATTAATTGTTTGTTAAGCATTTCATGATAAAAATTTTCTACAATGTCAATGACAATGACAATCTTTATTCATCTCGCAGGGAGAAATTAGTCTTGGTACTTCACAATGGCAATAGATGTTACAAAAATAAGGTGCACTCACACATACGCAAAACAATACAGGACTTTAGTAAACATATCTCACGTGCTGAAACAACTCGCTCCATAAAACATTCTCTCTCTTTCTCTCTCTCTGTTTCATTTGTAGCACTGCGTGTTCAGTAACCTCACTGCAGTTGGTATGAATGAATTTATATATCTGTCTGTTCTTATTTTTTGGATTACAAATATACTTTTTGACACACATTAAAAGCCTAAAACTTTGTTTTTCATACCAATTTCTAAAGCATTTCCTAGTTTTCTTTTCTCTAGAACATGTAAGAACATTTCTATCTAAGTCGCAGCTAAACTAAACGGTGCAAATACCTGCATCACTTATTTCAAAGCAGTAACGAGGATTCTTTAAAAGTTTATGAAATCCTCCAGTACATCCTTGCTTCCATTCTCCATAGATGCCAAGAACATGGTCTGAAAAGTAAATAGTTGCACCATTATTTACCTAAAAATTTGAATGGACATTATGCTGCATTCAACAAAAGGGTTAACTAGATGATAAAACCAGTACATTCAAGCTTCAAAAAGTCCTCGTAAAAAAGAACGAAAGTTATGTACCAGCAACAGATGGTCTAAAAATAACAGAAAGCAGTCAGTAGAAATAGGCGTAATACAAAACACAAAAGCTGTCATGTGGCATTGCTGAGGATAAAAAAAAGTAGGTATCCAGAATCTACCTTACCTGAGACATCTTATCCATGAGACCCCTATTGCGGTTTAAAGACTCATATTTGTGACTACTTATGATAAACTTGTACAATGAAAGACAAGTAAGCTGCCAACGAGAAAAAGTACACAAACCTACACTACAAACAAACTTAAATGTAGGGCCTTCCATCTTTGAATACATTTTACCATTAACCCCTTCATGTCAGGCTAGCTCTTCTATTTAACCAAAGTGCATAGAACAGTCTCAGACCATGGATGAAGGGGTTAACAGTTCAAACTTGCAAAATACCGTCTGAGACAAAACTCAGGATTTGTTTTCCTGTTTTGTTACACTGCTGAATAAGCAGCTTTTCAAAACATGTGATAATACTTACTGAGAGAGTCTGAGGTTCCATCACAGTCAAAATCTGGGGTCAAAGAGCAAATGGTTGTCTGGGAGAAGTAGGTCATAAAGTCTGGCAAGGACACATAAAATTCCCCATCATCTTTGTTGGGGGCTGAAATGGAGTTGTCTGGGATACTGAGCCATTCAGAGCTCCTGAGATGAGAGAAAATCACCAAAATGGATCACGTAAGCTGGAATGTTAAAAGAAAAAGTTTAAAAGCAACAGTTATTTTTTTAAAACAGAAACTCACAAAGAACAAACAACCATTAACCCTATGAGCCCTTGCCACCCGTGGCGTGTAAAATTGCTTGTATGCCTAGCCACTAGTGAGCAAGACCCTATCTCCAAACCAGCAATATGTGCATGGAAAACATTGTTTACTCATTTACTGCACAGGATGTTATTGATTATTTCAAAAATGTCTCTGAATTACAGTGAGCGCCGCATTCAACGAGGTCACTTTCAACGAGAAGTCGGCTCCAAAGAGGCAATTCTTAATCCCCAATTTTTTTCCTCTATATCTCTTTGTAAATGTACATCGGCTCCAACGAGAATTGCAAACAGACCGAAGTCGCTTTCAACGAGGTCGCAATAACCAAATAAAAGCAATTAGCGGTCCCAAAAGCGAAGAATTTTTCTCTTTTCTCTCCATTTCACGCTAAGCACAAGGCCCATCTCCGATTCCTAACACATGGCTGGATCTAGTGTGTCTCCTAATATGGGCCCCAAATCAAAGAGGATGGGTGAGGGTAGGATGGCCTTTGGTAGGGATGGGAGGGGGCGGGTGAGAACGCAATGCGGGCAGTGTGAAACTGGATGAACTCTTTATAGGTAGGTCTAGATCGAGTCTTTATTTTTTTCAATGTTCTTTTGTTCCCCTGATAAGAAAATCCAAGCTCCTGCCTTTATTTTATGCAGATCTAAGCCTAGATGTGAGAGGGTATGTTTTCACTCGAAAAGTGTTCAGGGAAAAAAAAATATTTAAGAATGCAGAAATGACGGTCAGAGCACAGCTCAAACACGCGCACACTGATGCTGTTTGAGATTTTCGTCATCAGGGGGGGAACAAATGTTTTAGTTACTGGTATTGAAACATCCTATAATATAATAACTTGTCTCCTTTCTTTACTTTAGCCTTAGTCACGTTCAACGAGAGGTCGGATCCAATGAGGACAACAAGCCGGTCCCGGCAACCTCGTTGAAAGCGACACCCACAGTAGTTGGTTGTGATGACAAGGACTATCATGAGTGGGATATGAAATGTGATTCTGACGATGATATAAATGAAGACATGAATCGCTCAGGAGCTTAGGCAGAAGGGCACGGTAGCCTAAGAAGGTCTGGGCTCAAAGGGTTAAGAACAAATTCATCTTTATCATGTACGTACTGACAGCATTTAACCTCACAAGTAATAGCGGCGAATATACCTGCCAAAAGAAAGACAAAGAGAAAGAGAGAGAGAGAGACAGAGAGAGAAAGAGAGAGAGAGAGAGAGACAGAGAGAGAGAGAGAGAGAAAGAGAGAGAGAAAGAGAGAGAGAGAGAGAGAGGGAGAAGGAGAGAGAGAGAGAGGGAGAGTGAGAGGGGGAGAGAGAGAGAGCAAGACAGAAAGAGAGAGAGGCGGGACAGAGACAGACAGAGAGCGGGACAGACAGACAGTAAGAGAGAGAAAAAGAGAGAGAGAGACAGAGAGAGAGAGAGAGAGAGAGAGAGAGAGAGAGAGAGAGCGTTAACACATATAAACTTATTGCTATTATAACCCAGTATAGGCCCACTGTTCCAATGTTAACCATTTTTCATGTTAAAAAATCTGCCTTGTTGCTAAAACTTTCCAAGATTAGCGATTAGAAGATTAAAAAATGATTTTAAATGGCCATGCATGAACAGCTATTATCTCTCAAAATATGATAATAAAATAACTGCTTTTTACTCAAAGAAAGCATTAAGTACTCATTAAGCAATATATCTAAAGGAAAAGTAGATAGTGGCAAAAAAGGTAAAGAATCATGCACTCAAGCAGAACGCCAGATCTTTTTTAAAATATAAGTGCACAGATGACCAGGGTATAAGAATATTTTGTCAATACTCTGGTTCCTCCCAAAAAATAAATGGTTTCTTTCTTAGCAAACAACAAAGGTCTCAAAAGAGGATGAAAGGAGTCTTGCACTAAGCAAGAAGAGTTGAATTTGTTTGTTAAGGCAGAGTGAAGCAGGGATTTTAAAATTTCTTTTTGGTGGGTGGTTGGGGGGGGGGGGGGGTACGTTTTGAATTAGTACTCAACCAACTGTACAAAATATGGTTGTTATGCATGGGTGTGATCAGGCACTATTGGAGGAACTCTTAAAGCAAAATGTGTGGTACCACTGTAATATGTCAAAATATGCTTTTTTCTCAAGTTAACAGCACAAACTTTCCTTCTTACATTCCTACACACTAACATGATCAAAACTATGCCAATGTCAGTATACTGTAGAGAGGGCAAGGAACGAACAAGTAATGTGTGAAACCTTTAGGATGAACGACACTACATGCCTTAAGAATGAAAACCTTTACATTTTTCCGTTTGAAAGTGCTCTTCAGATAATAGGGAAAAATTTTAACTAAAATTTTAGAAAAAACAATGACCAACCCGTCACTCCAAGCTCCTTTCCACTCGCCATGACCCCATGGATTTCGCACACGCATCAGTTTAGTTCTGCCCACCTAACAGAATGGAGCAGATACTGCTTTCTTAGTACTCACATGCAGAAAAAATTTTTGTATGAAACAATAACAGGTTGAGAAAAAGACAAAAGATCACTGTAGCAAAGTTGTTATTTAAAAAAGCCCGAGGCAAAAAAAGTTCACAAAATCTTTTTTTAAGAAAACAACTTATGAAACCATTCTCACAATCACTGATGACAAATCTCTTTACATTTCACTTTATAACTCTACTCTAAGCTCAGTCTCAGTACATATCAACTTCCATCAGCAGGTCCTTTTGAAGGGGTCAAACAACAACTAAATACTCTATATATACTAAAAACAGCCCATGACAATGCAGAGATAAATAAAGGAATTCGTCATATGAAGGCTGCAGACACAGTAATCATCACAGAAGTAAAAAAATAGAGTCGAAGTTGGTCCAGGTAGCCATTTATTGTCGAGAAGGCAAGTGGTGGTCTCAGACAGATGGATGTCTTAGTGTCATTATAATATTTTAAAGAACACAAGGGGAACAGTAGAAAAGTGGTTGTTTGAACAGACGATTGTTTTGGACAAGTGGCTGGTAAGGCAGGTTTGACTGTATCTTCACATAAAATTTCCAGAAGTATTTGTGTAATACGTGGTGGAATCAGGCGCTCATCAATTTTTGGACATGTGGAGTTATTGGTATCATCTTAAAGCTTGTTCACTGATCTTGTCTTCAGTGAAAAAATACTCACAGACCTGCCACTCTATGAAACCTCAAAATCAGGAGCTCAGGGGAAAAAAATCAGGATCAACAGCAAAATCACCAAGGTGACAGCCATGCTGACTTAAACATTTTCCAGGGGTGCCCATAAATAAATAGGCCTATACATGCCCTGTGTGTGTCTTTGTTTGCTTGAGCGTATGTGTGTGTGTGTGTGTGTGTGTGTGTGTGTGTGTGTGTGTGTGTGTGTGTGTGTGTGTGTGTGTGTGTGTGTGTGTGTATTATCATTATTTTTTTATAAATCCTGAAGAATCACGTCAAGCACTCCCAGTCCAAGCGTCGAACACCCTCGCGGTCGGAACCACTGTGCCGGTGAGCCGCTGACAGAGGCTCTGACACATTCCTTTACGACGACTTCGAAATCAAATTATTTTAGGCAATCGTCGAAAACAGGTCTCTTATATCGGAAGTTCATTCATTAGATGAAGAACTATCAAAATAGGTTCGCTCGTTTTGATTTAATGATGTTTTTGTCAATTTTAGATTTAGCACCAAAAAAAGGGCCCCGGCGTAGTGGGTTTACCCCGCTTATAGAGATAAAGAGTTAAAGAAGTCAAAAAAGCAAAAATTCAATAAAAATTGCCAAATGGACAGAAAAATGCAAGTTTCTTCGATATCATAATTTCGACGAGTGCCAGATTTCACCACGAAGCTTCACATCTGCTTAAAGTCCATCGTTTCAGTCAATCTGTTTCTTATCAAAACACAACAAAATGAAGTGAAAACACACACATGCATACAGGTAATAAGCTACCGATTCGAATACACAAACAGCCATTATGTTTTTGCAGTGTGGGTTCTATACCAGAAAAATGCAGGTAAGTAAATATTTTACCTCAGCTGTTCCAACCAATGAATAGGCGTGACCTCCCACCAGGCCTTGATGATTATCATACTCATCCTTGGGGAAAAAAAAAGAAAAACATCGTACGTCATTAGTGTACGTTGTGATATATAGGTATATGATGGTTCCTCTCAATTACAGGACCTGGGACCTCTCATTTAGTGGTTTCTTTCTAACAGAATCAAGAGAAGGGGGAAGACAACCAGGGAAACACACAAAACAAATCAAGATCACGAACACCCTGTTTGGGGTTCGTACCAGGGACCTCAAAGTCCAGCATGATCTCAACAAAGTCATCATCAATGCACCCTTTGTGCAGTTTCTTTCTATTAGCTCTGATCCCTTAATATGGTCATCATTATAAAAATTCAATTAAAGTATTGCAAAAGCACTAAAAAATGTTTCCTAATAATCCAAATGAATGTCATATGGAGTGACATGAGCTGACTGAAAGGAAAAAAAGCAATTTAGGAAGATTATATTGAGGGAAAAAAATTAATAAGCAAGAAATATATGAAGTCTTTGACTTTTTCTTTAACATTAACAGTAGTGATCCCCCCCTCCCTTTTTTTTTCTTCTTCAATTTTTCAATAATGTAATAGTCCTCTCGATACATACTCGGATCCAAGATGGTCATAAAGTGAAAATATAGTAGGGAGACAGGAAGGCACCACGAGTAAGCCCTACTTCTTTCAATCCCTCTTTTTATTAATACTAAAATATAGCATTCTAAAAGTTTTATACTAAATTATTTGCATAGGGATCATCATTTTTCTGAACCTTCTTTTTCTTTTTCATCCCTATATGACCATCAAAGTGGGAACTATTTTGTTAACTTTAAAGAGACCAACAAAAATATTAAGTGGTTTTTTTTTTGGGGGGGGGGGGGGGGGCATAACTTTTCTCCAGCTTGATGAAAACATCCCGTACAGCACACACTGAGGTAAACAACAAACACTCCTAACCATAAGGCCAGAAGGGGAAACAGACTTCAGCTCAAAAGTTCTCATGGTTGACATCTCTTGTGGTAGTGCCGGGGTGATAGGGATAGAGCAAGATAAGGTTGAGAAAAAAAAAAAAACGAAGACTCAGGGAACAAAAGGAGGTAAGGACACAGAATGAATCTAGCAGAGGCATGATATAATATCAAAAGGCTATCCCAGAATAGGGAAAAGTGGAAAGTATTTGTTTGTGGCTTATTGTTATTTCTTCTGAAATTCTTCGAACTCACAGGCACAACACATGCAACTTGACAGCCACTGTTTAGAGCATTTTTGATCCGTTTGAACAAGGCAGAAGCCTTGTCAGTGTGACTGTCAAGATCAATCCGTTCTCCGATACCACCAGTGAGCAGCAGGTATGCATCACCAGGCTGACCTCCATACACAGCATCATAGGAGCCATACAGTCTGAGGGTAAAAACACATGAAGCCACTGCAGGTCTTCCTGTTTTTTTAAGCTTTCAGACAAGAAACTAACCCAATAGTTCATAAAGTTTTATTTTTCCTTCCTGGTAGATATACAAACAATTTACACAATGGCTCATGTGAGGTTTACCAAATCCATCTTGACCAAAGTATAAGCAACTGACAATGTTTCATAAAAGAACTTAGCTTTTAGGTATCCTTTTTAGCTATCAAGCAATTAAATAAGCATAGTCCTCAATGGATTTAAGTTTAGTTTTAGATCTAGTAAGAGAATTATAATGGCACTTGCAACACAATCAAGACATATAAGTTCCGAAGATTAAAAGTGTTACAGGAGAGAAAAGGAGAGAAGGAGAGAAAAGGACGATAGATTGGATTTAATTTAGAATGCATGCTAGAAGAGACAGGTGAGCTGGTATATATTTATTCATAGTGTCAGGAGCTTAACAAAGTTTTCTCTGTTTATTCATACTTTTTTCCTGTCCAACAGCTCTCTGAATATATGTAGTTAAAAAAAAAAAGCAGCTACAAAAAGATGGCAAGAAAAAAAGCAAAACCACTATTTCATGTACAGTAACAGACCACAATCCTACTTTAAAAAATTAGACTGAGGCAAAGCATGAAAAAAAAAAGTTAATTTAAGTACTAATCTTTTAAGTAATCAGTCCCCAAAATTGTGATCTCTATAAGAAGGCCTACAGGCCTTCCATTTAGTTTTCAGTAAGGTTATTGGTGGGTGGTTGAAATAATAAATGGTAAAATTGAGAAAAACTTAACAAATGTGTATCATGGAATTAACAACAAGATAATTCAAAACAACGTCTGTACATAGTAATCAGAAGGAAAAAAAATCAAAGACTGATTCATTAAGCCTTTTAGGAAACAAGCTCAGTTTTGTATATATGATAGGCCCTATTCATTATTTTTATTTCAATTGACATACCTTGCAAAGGCCTTCTCCAATAATGCAACCCACATTTCACGTTCATCTGTAGTTGACTTTGCTCCCCATAAGACATTTCCGTAAATGACAGGCAGGAAGTCGTCAGTATACACATCCTCCCACTTGCCAAATCGAAAGAATCGAGCATGGAATGTTCCATCATATTCAGCAGGATTTTCTATTAAGTATGCCGAGTCTGGAATCACCTATTTAAAGAAAAAGAGCATAAGTATGAGAGAGAACTGCTTAAGATGATGTCAAGGACACATATGAAAAGAATAAATTTTACTCTAGAAATCATCTTATCTGTTCCTCACTTTCCACTATGACCATGGAACTACTTAAATGTCATTTTTGACACGAAAGTATTTATTCTTTATAGAAAAAGTTCACAAACAGTGAGAAGAGATTATTTTGCTTCTGTGCTATTGCAATACTAGTTCAGTACACAATTCATATAAATGGATAGGGAGACTTCTTCAAAGGAAATAGTACTCATGAAAATTTTAACTTCGAAATATGAATGGGCTCTCGACCCACATGACATTGGATCTTCTACCTATCTGTCTGGATACTAAAAGACGCTTTTGTAAACAGATAATCATGCTATGAGATACCTGATCTATCATGGATTTATTTCCAGCAATGTTGGCTACAGTTGATAAGAACCAACATGTGCCTGCAGATCCTTGCCCAATGTCAAAGCGGGTTGCTCCATCTGAGAACAGCTTTGGATTGTCTACAAATTCCTGAAGAAAGAAAGAAAAAACTTCACTTATAACAAACATACTTAAAAATAAAGAGAGTGCAAACAAAAAATGGATTCTGCCTATACAAATGCAACTGTACAAAACCAAAGACAAAATTCAAGGAATAGAGAATCATATCGAGGCATACTCCAACAGTTGTCATGAAGGATGATGAACCTCACAGTTGAACAGCTTACAATGGTTATAAACATATGTGCATCCTCTCAATTGTTCATGCGCCTACACACTACAAATCCCTTTGCTAGTCATTTCATTCCAATTAATAAAGTCAGTTTGTAGGGAAGGCATACTGTTAAATTTAGAGTCTATGAACCCTGAGTTGTGTGAGATATAACACCATTGTCTGTCTGATGAATAGAATCTACTTAGTACAGTCCATGCAGGTTTTAAGCACGGTCAACGGGAGAAAGCATAAGCATGCTTAATGCCGAAGCATGCTTGAGTGAGAAGTAGAGTAGACACTCTCATAATCCAGAGATATTTATGTTGAAAATTTCCCTTTGTTCGAAAGAAGTGGTCACACAAAAGTGTGCGCTGTCATTTACCCGCCATGGTAGTTCTTGTTTGTTTGTTTCGTTTTGTGGTTGAATGGGAAAGGAAAACTTAATTTAGACAGCCAGTCATGATACAGCACACTACGCCTACCCACTGCCTGTGCGTACCACTGCCCGCTGAGCCACATTCATACCACCGCCTTCATCAATCATCCCACCTCGATTTTGATACACAATCAGGATTATCGGATAGCGATTGAGGGACAAAGGTGAAATCGCAGCCAGCGTCCCTTTCTCTCTCCCTGACTCTGTATTTTTTTCATCTCTGTGTAGCTTTGCCCTAGGCTAGATCCTATGTCCAAGAGAGTGGTTGTGTGCATCTCACTGCTTTCCTCTACGCGCGCGCGTGTGTGTATGTGTGTGAGCGTGTGTGTATGTGTGTGCGTGTGTCCATCAACTGTGTTCTTCGTGTTCTCTTAACACACTAACTGCTGCAGTGTAGACTGTGTTCAAACTTTGATGGGTCATAATGAAAGTATTTATTGTCTTGTAAATGAAGCGTGCCCGAAGTCGAAATTACTGAGCTAAAAAGCGTGTAATTTATATAGCAAAAATTCGGTAAGAAATGTTTAGCGTGCTTGAGTCCGAAATGTGTTATATGCTGACGTGTTTAAAGCCGGCACAGACTGTAATTTGGCCAATTTAAAAGTTAAAAAGTGACAAAAACTGAGAAGCCACAAATTTGACCGCCAATATTATTATCAAAACATTAGAAAAGTATGGATATCAGTTATACATGTAACATGACAAAGAAGAGTTTATTACAAAAACTAGAAGAAAATAATGATGAAAGAATACAATTATTATTTATGGTTGCCACACTGTGCAAAGTGCTCTTTCTGTTGAATCTTATTTTTAATGAATGTGAGCTCATTAAACTATCTCTCTGAAAAGGGGCTGTTGTTAGGCACGTGGATAATACAAGCTCTAAAGATTAAAGTGGCTTCATGTCCTGAATATTTCTCGTTTGTCTCTTTGAGCCTCAGTACTCACAAAGGTGATAGAATGTAAAAGTAATATTCAGTGTTTGATTTCTAAAAAATTTTAAAATATCAGGCTTAAGCATAGTTTGTGATAGAGACCAAGGTTACTTACCCCAGGTCGTTTCCATTCAACACCTGAATGGTCCTGCACAATGGCTATCTCAAGGGGAAACTCCTCATCCGTGTACAAAGCGCCTGGTGCTACAACTGGTTTGACCTCAGACTCATCTTCCACATTGTTGGTTCGGAAATCAACCGTCTTATCCAAAAGTCCGACTGCATTCATAGAGTAACCTTCTATGTCTCTAACACCATCATCATCAAATGGAGTATCATCCTCTTCCATATCATCTTCTTCATCATCTTCAGGAGGAGCCAGATCTGGTGCAGGAGCTGCTTCAGGCTTGGGTTCAGGTTCAGGTTCAGGTTTATGTTCAGTTTCAGGTTTGGGTTCAGGTACAGGTTCAGGTTTTGGGCTTGGGGGTGGTTGGGGAGATGTTCTTTCTTTTTCTGGTTCCGGTGGTGGTGGCGTTGGTGGTTGTGGTGATGGCTCAGCTCTTTCTTCCTCAGAAGCTTTGTCATCGTTTTCCCGTTCTTCTCTTAATCTTCGGACACGTTCAGGAGTAGGTGGCTTTGGTCTGGGTGTAGGGGGTTTTGGCAATTCAAAAGTTTTGTCGTCATCAGTTGTGTTGTCACCATTGTGCAACTTTTTTTCGTCTTCATTGTTGCGGTCCTCTTTTAAGGGTTTAGCTTCTTCCTTTTCCTCTTTCCAGTCTTTGCTTTTATCACTACTGGTGCTAGGCCTGCGGTTCCTGTGCCCTGAACTGCTGCTTGACTTTGATGATGCACAACCCATTTTGTCAAATTATGAAGTATCTGTTGAAAGAAATGTTATAAGTTTGATTAACAAATTTACAATAGAATTGTTTTAAAAGAGCAAACCTGTATGTAACCTTAATTGACAAAGTAAATGAGGATCATGAAAAAGTAGCTTAAAATTTGGTAAACTCCTTTTTAAACTAAACTGCTTAAATCCCCTTATTTTTATCATCTTTTAACAATAAAATGACAACAGAAGATGATCTGCGTGCCTGGAGAAAGCAGTTGTTAGCAAAGCTATTTTTCAGCAACAGGGTGAAAAGACCAAAAAAGTAGTTTCGTCAAAAATTTAGTTCAATCAGAAAACACACGTTTATCCATTTCTTGAAACACATTGAAAGGATTTCACAATTAAGTCAAAATATTTATAAACATTAATTTATTGTTAGTTTTGCAACATGTTGTACTTCTTCTTCTTCTATCCCGGGGTTGGGACACCACTGCATCTGAAAACCAGCTCTCGCCATTTATCTTTGTCCTCTGCTTTCCTCAGATTGTCACCATTGTCTTTCCTGACCACTCTGTAATGTTGTCCTCCTATCTCCTTCTCTGCTAGAATTAAATTGGTTTTTCCCAAAACTTTTGTTTTTACACTCTGTGTTACAAAATGTGACATATACCTTTAAAACTACTCAAGATATTTGAAAAATTAAAAAATGTCGGCGACTGGAAATAGTGTTCCAGATTTCTGCAATTCGCCATGTCCGTAAAAGCCCTAAATTTTAATACAAAGAAATACTATTGAGAGAAAATCAAGGAAGGTTAAAAAAAAGAACATTAGAACAATTAACATGGTAAGCTCCCTTGATGAACGTGTTGACGGTGTGAGAGCAAGAAGATGAATGAAAGTGGAAAGCAGAAAATCTCACGTGTGCACAGCCAACCCCTACGTCATTTCTTTCCTCTCATTTCATTGGCTTACAGAAAGTTACCCCTCTTGACACACGCACCGTGGGTTTCAGGGGGGCATGCCCCGTAATTCACCATAATTTAATGTTTTGGCAATTGGGTTTGGTATTTTCTGGAAAACATTTGATTTGCAAAAGTTTTAGGGGTCATATCGTCGGGCTTGTGATAAAACCGACTAACCCACAAAATATTTTTATTGGCCCTATCGATAGTAAATTGTCCATTTCATATGCTCACTCAAAGACAGATCAGAATTTTGTCTAGTAATGACTTTAAAACATTAGAAATAAAACCGTATAACCTGGCACCCATCGGATTTTAGCTTGATAATTCTGACTATCCCACCTGCGAGAGCAGGAATGAGGGTTGGCAGTTTTTGTTGTGTTAACAATGAGGGGCCATGTGCTACCTTACCCACCAACCCCATCTTAGACTCGTCTCCTAACTTCGTTTGACGTCAGATTCACATGATCACACCCTTGATAGTCCAGCATTCGCTGACATAACCATGGGAGATCTCCAAAAAGGTATATTTGTGTGATATTTTTTGTTGGTTTCATTCATATAGATCTAGTAATTTCCTATTTTTTTCTTCATTCCTAATGTTGCTGATAATGTTATTAATGACTAAAACTCCCCACTTTTCCAACAGTACTGTTTATCTCTTGACAATGCTGACATTTCAAATGCTTCTTTATGAATTTTTGTTTCATTTGACACTATTTTTTTGTCCACGTGTTCGTCCCTGTCTTTGTACTGGAAAGTCACCGAATTGTGAAGGCATTTTCCCGTATTTGGACTACTGTCTTTTCTCCTAATCATTTTTTTCCGTTGGAATTGTGGAACCTGTCCACCACACCCGCCAACCCCCAACGAACATTATGTTATATGTGTTTCTTCTTCACCTTAGCAGAGACTGAGCCCACCATTTTGAAACTTCACAGTGACTGTAAAGATGGTTCCAATAGGGAACGGGATGGAGGGTGCCCATGTCCCTCGGATCGTGACTCATTGGAGCAGAGGAAAATAGGACCAACACTTACATTACTCAAACGCAATCCCACATCATCACCACCATTATATCTAAAATCATCACTGTTCTCAGATCAATGACTTACATCTACAATCCTGGAATCCCTATCTGCTATTACAGTCACTTGTTATACTAAGTATGCATGTAATACACTATTGGACACTGTCATACGCACTTCTTTTCTACTAATCAGATGGCGTCAATTGCATATAAATGGGCAAGGGATAAAAAAAATAATTTTAAGTATTTCTTTATTTTCATTTGCAGTGTTTATAATTATTGCAGTTATTGCTTTCTGTAACATCTTTCGAAATTCTTTGAAAGTCTATTTCGTTTGTGTTTTGTACAGATTATTTTCTCAGTTTCGTAGAATGCTTTATCCTTATATCAAACCCTAACTCACATAATGCTAATACATTCCATCAGATGAAGCTACACTTGCTGCGTTACCTCTGACCCTTAGCACAGTGGAAAGTGATTAAAATGACCAAGCTAATATCACCCAAGCTGATGATACAAACGTTACGTCATCATTGATCTCTGCAAAAAAAGACACGGAATGAAAACGAATGGAAGGGTAACAAAAGGAAGAGATTGAAATTGAAAGAATTGGGAATGCCTCAACACATGTCAAGGCACCAAGCGAGCAGGCTGTGAACTTAACGTCCATTGCAGTTGTAAATTGGTTGGTATAAAATGCAATGACATCACTAGTCACTCTCTTGTAAGGAAAAGAGAGCCTACGTATATGCCATGATAAACAATATAGACAAAATGAGATCTTAAATAGTAAGTGAAAACCCAAGAAGAAATTACGCCCTTCAATACCACTTAAAAAGTGTCAAAGGTCAAAGAATTTCAGTTTGTAAAACAATGTTCATGAACACTACAGGACTGACCAACTGGTTTATTTAAAGTGTCTTCTCCGAAAAAAAAAAAAAGCACCCAAGAACACGTCATGCCCACCACGAGAGAGCCAAGGATGACAAGTTATTCCATTAGGAGGAATTTTTCGACAAACTTTCGAAGATGCCCTCCTATTACTATCACAAGTCAATGACAAAATTGTATCTGCAGATGGTATTCCAAAGCACATCAGATCTGCATTGAGTATACATGGAGAAATATGGCAGAGAGGCAGAAAAAAATATTGAGCTATCAAATGTTTTGCCAAGAGTTCAAGAAGAACAATAATTTGGGTTTATTTTCAACCAAGAAAGACCAGAGCGACATTTGCACCAGCTCTGAATCTGGAAAACTCACAGAACAGAATACACAGCTCATCAAATGAGGAAAGCTGCAGCTAGAGCAGAGAAGGAGGGACAGGGAAGCTGCATTGAATCCAGAGAATAAAGTGTGCGTCCTTTGTATGGAGATCCAGTATGTCCTCCTGGCAGCATCACAAACGTCTCAAAAGACATCAGCCTTATATTATAAAACAAAACTGGCAGTCTAGATTTTACGATATATGATCTTGCCACCAGAGATGTCAGATCGTATGTCTAGGATGAAAGTGAAGGTAGTCTGAGCTCCAACAGTTTTCATCATGTCTGATTCACTACCTCAGATCGCGAGCGACTGACTTCAACCACTTCATCATCTACAGTGATTGGTGCAACTACCAAAACAGAAATGTCATCCTGGCGAGTGAAGTGGCCTTGCTGACCAAAGAGCTTGACATCACAGCTGAGCAGAAATTCCTAACCAAGGGCCATACCCAAATGGAGGAGGATTCAGTCTATGGCACTATTTAGCGATTGCTCAAAAACGCACTGATTTATATCCCAGTGGACTACTTGAACATCATGCTCAAAGCCAGACGCATCCCCAGGCCCTATGAAGGTATGTGTCTGGACAACAGCTTTTTCAAATATTTCACAAAGGTCGGAGAGTACAAACCAATATGCCCAGGGAGAAAAGCAGGTCATTGACTTGCAGGCATCAAAGTACACTCCAGACTTAAAAATTCAGCACAAACTGAACTTTGATGATGAATGGCAGGCGCTGCAAGGACTATGAAAGCTGAACAATCAATGTACAACAGTTACTGGTGGATTTCTCTACAAAAACAGATTGAAGATAACTGCTACAGCAGTTGAAGGCTGCCATACCACAATGCTACCACAGTTACTATGACACTTTGCCTCAGTGAGAAGTTGTGAAAGCGATCAAGTCAAATTGAATTGGTGTAGAATATTTGAAAACAATGGTGACTTTTTGCCGTATATTGCCTTGTTATAACTATAGGAAACAGAGTGAAACAGACATGCTTAATCTATTGTTGAGAAAACTCAATACCGTAGTTGTCAAGCCGAGCTCCTGAAGAGAGTTGGCATATTCTTTGACACTTAGTCTTTTTATAATAATAATATATTATTATGTTACCTACTTCATTCTAACGATTGCTGAGGTAGCAGCTAGTAGAGTTTTGTGTGGCTTTCTGCTTTCATTTCTTTCTAAGTATTACTTTTTAGCAGGCATTTGAAGGACAACCCAGGGTCAATAGTACCGTGTCAGACACTGTCATAAATTCTAAAGGCCTGCTACTGCTACTACTGTTGTTGTTGTTGTAGCTGCTCTTCTTTACACTTCAAACCTCCTGTTTTCTACTTCAAATGTAGTTATTAGATCCATTGCTCTGTTCCTAATCTTCTACTTCAAGTAAATTTTCAACTAAAAAATTGTGACTGCTGTTTTTGCCCGAATTGATTCCATAGCACTGATTTGAAATGACTGTAGCTGATAGTATTAAATGGTAGCACTAAAATTGTGCTGCACTCAAGGCCAATATAGTGGCTTCCTGATAAAACAGGCCACCCCACAAAATTGAGGTTTGGTTGGTTTTATTCTGAAAAATTTAAGCGACAAAACCGTACATCTCACGCAGTTTCATTAAAAGTGATTTTTAAGGAAAAGCAGGTCAGTTTTTCTGTAAAGTGTTTTTATAGGTGTTTAAATTTAGGCAGGCGCTGCAACGCCGCGTTCTGAATAGCTCTTGTGCTATTTGAAACTAGATCTAAAGATATTATCTCTGTGTGCACTTTATATTTTGCCATCACACATCATGCCGCCCAGGGGCGAAGGCTGACTTGTTTGACAGGGTAATCAAAGTGAAATGGGACCAGATAGGGCCTGTAGATATCACACAAGAATCTTACTCGAGGCGGCGACTCTGAGTTGTGAATGAAAACAAATCCGGAATTCATATTGTATGTTCAACCGCCAAAATAATCGGGAAAGTATCTTATTAAATATCAGTTCCCACTAAAATTAAACTTAACTTTAGATGTGAATACATAAACATAAAGCAAAGAAGCAGAGATGCCAGTACTAGATCTATATGTTATAGATCTACCAGTGAGTCTAACTCTTTGGTAGAACATGACAATTATTATTTTTTAAATTTCACATTTGGCTGTTTTTGTTAGCCTTTCGCGGCCAGGAGCTGGAGTCATAATCGAGGTCACGATCTGATTATAGGACGGTAAAAAGTCGAGGAAAAAAAACAAGCACAAGCAGCAGTCAAGAGATTATTAAGAGTTAGTTCCCCTCACATTTGTGAGGTAGACTCGACCAGTGTTAGTTAGCTTACTTAATCAGGGCTGGTGATTGATTTTAACTTTGGCCCCAAAGGGGTGAACAGGGTATATGTGGCAATGAAACAGCTTTGACTGCCATGCACATGTTCCCTTCAACTCTATTCCAGCCTCACTTTATTTGTTGATTACGAACGTCTTTTGACATTTAATTTATGAGGTTTACGTTTAAGGATGAATTTGACAGCGACAATGTTTCAAAATTAGAAAGGGAAGCAGTGATTATTTAATTATATAGACGCTTCGCCCCTGATGCCGCCTGATCTAGATCTAGGCTTCGGTGTTTTAGTTATCAGGGGGTAGTGTCTACGTTCTCTGGCGTTAGGCCTAGAGAATGTTTACACAAGCTGTCTATGTTCTCTAATGTTCAGTGCTTCCAAGCGTGGCATCGAATCCCGGTCCCGGAAGGTTTTTTTTTTCTACCCCTGAGCCTAAAAAAGAATAAATTAGACTCACAGACCAAAGAAAGCCACTATTGAACTTTAACCAGGCCTAAATTGGTAATAAAAGGAAAAATATATGCCTACTTTGTAGGTAAACGCTCCTCCTGGGGACAAAACCATGTGCCTGCTTCATCACTACATAAAAAACTACAAAGCAACAATTAAGTTATAATTATGGGAAACAAGCTATTATTATGGGAAAAAATTGTTGGTCAGCGGGGAAAAGGAGAAGCAGAAAAAAAAAAAATTCCAGGACTTCGGGATTCGTTCCCATGCTCATAAAAATAATAATGGTTTGACTTCAAACGCAGTACCGCTGTCCATTCGGCCATCGCAGAACTTCCAACAACGAAAGGTAGATTAAGCTTGATATTTATAACACACAGCGTTTTATTTAGCACTTGTGCTAATTGCAATGCTGCGCTTTATTTAGCACTGGTGTTAATCGCAACGTGGCATTGCAAATAGGCACTCCTTAAATTTAAAGTACTAATTTATCCTAAGACACTTTTGTTTTGAAATAAAACAGTTTTTTCCTTCTCCTGTAAAATTTACACTGCTGGGGTTAGTCGGTTTTATTACAAGGCCGACAATATTATATAGATCTATGTGTGTTCTGCAGTGGCAGTTATTAGCCCTCTTATATCTGTGTGCGGGCCTAAAAATTAAAAAATTACCCAAGGCTATTATTATCTATCTATGAAGAGTTATAAGATGCACACATCAATCTACCTGTAAAAGCAGCTTTACCAACTTATTTCCTTACTGAGAGCATAACATGGTTTCAGTAGAAAACATTTTTCCATGAGTAGGCTAGTGGTTGATTTAAAAAGTCCTTAAAGCAAACAAACCGACCTTCACCTTTTGGCAAAGACTCCACTGGCACTATAAATGAATCCTTAGGCTATAGATCTAGATTAGATTCTATGTCCGAGTTCTATTTTTTACTCTGACCAAACACTTCTATAAATTTAATTAACGCAGTGGCTATTTTTACGGCATGCCGTAAAGATAGCCTCCCAGTGAGTCGCAGGCTATTTTTACGGCGATCCTCGAAAAGCGACCCTACTCCGCCTCTCATGTACGCGACATGCCTCAATGTATTAGATCTAGGCCTATAGGGGCCGTTCAAAATATAAACTTACACCTCAAAGGGGAAAGGGTGTCTTTGGCTTCTGAAAGAAAAGTGTAAGATTGGGTGGGGAGGTTAACCAAATATGACACTTCTGTGAGATGAACGTTTTGCTCATGACTGAGAAGAAAAGGTTAAAGAAAAAATGGATAAATGCCAGTAACAAGACCCAGATCTGCATGATCACTGCAGATCCCCGTTGTTGTTTTTTTTTTTTTTTTTGAGGGGAGGGGGGGGGGGGGGGGGGGTTACAAATAATTTTGAAATTATGATTAAAATTCTGTAGGTGGATATCTTATTTCTTAATATGTTTCTTTGTAACTTTGCAACTGTTTTGTTGATCTGTTAATGTCTTGATGTCTTTTATTTGTAAGGCACATACCTATTGCATTGACAACAGTCTCAATGTCTTCCACATATATGCGTTTCTTTTTAGTCCATATGGTTTGATTAAATGGTATTAACTGAACTGATATTTTTTTTTACAAGCTAGTTAAAAAAAGCCACGTTTAGTACAGGTATCTTTAAAATAATAATGGAAGTTGAAGATCGGAAAAAGTACTAATATTAAATTGGTGTAGGTGGGGGTTGGCAAATGTGAGAAAAGTGGTATTGGGTTTTGTGCTTTAAAAAAGTCCCCAAAAGTGTAAGATTATATTTGAACAGCCCCATAGGTTTTCCATTTCCTCCTCTTCACCGTCATTCTATTCTCTTCTTCATCTTCCTTCTCCCTTCCTCCACCACCACCCACCACCTCTTCCTTCTTCTCCCCACCATCATCATTCACCCTCTCTTTATCATCACCACCATCGGAAAAAGAATCACCCTTGGGGTGAGCTGTTCCCCGTAAAAATGGACAGTAATAATATGAGCACATCAGAAAACAAAACACAAAAACTTAAAAAATGCGATCTATTTCATTATTTGAAAGAATCCCACAACAACAAGGTCCTAGTAAAGAACATAAAAACATTGAATTGTTTAAGTCCAGAATAAAGACTATAATTATGATAATACTAATAATAGAGGACATTTAATTATTATATTATAGTGCCTTACTCTTGGTTTTAACCAGCTCAAAGTATGTTACATTAGTCTTTAGTTTAGTCATTTAGTAAAATGTAGTATAAAATAACAAATAAGGTAGTAGCCTACAAGGCCTACAAGCCAAGACGGAATTTATAAGACTGAAAAACGTGTTCTACGTCATCAGTTTGTGACTGCCGTAAAAAGAACATTTCAGTTAATACAATTTAATCAAACCATATGAACTAGAAAGAACGCATATATGTGGAAGACATTGAGACTGTTGTCAATGCAATAGGTACGTGCCTTACAAATAAAAGACATCAAGACATTAAAAGATCAACAAAACAGTTGCAAAGTTACAAAGAAACATTAGGAAATTAGATGTCCACCTACAGAATTTTCATCATAATTTCAAAATTATTTGTAACCCCCCCCACCCTCTCAAACACAACAAAACAAAACAAAACAGCAACAACGCGGATCTGCAGTGATCATGCAGATCTGGGTCTTGTTACACATTTATCCACTTTTTCTTTTACCTTTTCTTCCCAGTCATGAGCAAAACGTTCATCTCACCTTCCCACCCAATCTTACACTTTTCTTTCAGAAGCCAAAGACACCCTTTCCCCTCTGAGGTGTAAGTTTATATTTTGAACGGCCCCTATAGGCCTATATCTAATACATTGAGGCATGTCGCGTACATGAGAGGCGGAGTAGGGTCGCTTTTCGAGGATCGCCGTAAAAATAGCCTGGGACTCACTGGGAGGCTATCTTTACGGCTTGCCGTAAAAATAGCCACTGCGTTTAATTAAAGTCTTAGGCTCTGAGACTGTGATACACGCACTTCTCATTTCACACTTTAAAAAAGAAACGAAGAACTTTATTTGCTGTAGACTGTAGATCTATACACCCAATTAAAGATGAAAAAAATATAGATCTAGATCTAGATATATTAGTTATTAGAGTCTTGATCTAGAATCTAGATCTAGATTCTAGATCTAGTATCTAGATCTAGATAGATGTAGATATATCTAGATCTAGATTATAATCCATATCTAGATCTATACGACTATACGTTGACGTTGTGAGAAATACATTCATCATAACTTTTAGTCGATTTCAGCTTTTTTCTTTCATTATCAAGTCCCAACGCCCAACATAGAAGCAGTAGATCCAGATCTAGAAAATCTAGATCTATATCTAATCTAGAACTAGTCTAGATCTAGATTCTAGAATCTAGATCTAATCTAGATCTAGATCTAGAATCTAGATCTAGATCTATCTCTAGACTCTAAATTTTATTGCTGATAAAAAGAATTAGAAGTCGTTAGCCTAGAAGAAACCCGCTCAAACTTGGCTTTGTTTTTACAGTTGGTGAGCAAATATTGTGACAGTTATAGAAACATAGATGATAAATGAATGATCCAAAAGATTCCACAGCGCTTTCACAAATGCCCATTGTTTTTATTTTTTTTCAAAAAGGGATTTTCTAGCTGTGAAACAAACCTATCCAGCCGCACAAGCTCCCATCGGAACCATCGATCATTCAAAGACCACCTGGCAACAGCATAAACAACATTGTCCTAATTGTCCCAATAAATACCCCTAAAGTCGTAATACAAAAACACAGTGCGAAGTACACACGTTATTCTTTTTATTGTAAGATCAGGTAAGACTACATAAAAAATAAAGAAATAATGTATTTTAATGCTAACCTGTGGACGATTTTGCATTTTTATGATAGCTAATAAGCGGAAAAATTTGCGGCATTTAATTATTTGGGACAGGAAATTGTTCCTTTTCGTGAACTCTCCACTTTGACATTATTTTTCTTCGACCACCGCCTTCTTGTTATGGTTCATGTAGCCTTCAGCAGTCAACTGTAACATCGTCGATATCAAGAATCAAGTTAGTAGAGGCGACTTCGATGACATTTAGGCCTATGTTGTTATTCACCTGCAGTATTCTAGATCTATGTGGACATTACGAGGGTGCGTCTTTCTCCTTGTCCAGACATATGCATTGAAAAAGAGATCAGTGTCGCATGACAATACTCATTTGTAAGTGTAGGCAGTGTGCCTCTATGCCCCTCTATGCTTTTCAACTACAACTATCGAGTCTAGAGTAATATCGAGCCTGTTACAAATTAACAGCGTAGCGTGTGTTCAGCTTGCGTAACCGGCCATAGTTTCATTGCATTTCTGGCGCGCTGTGCAGAGGTGTTCTCTGGAGATCTTTATATTTTTAGCTCTTTTCACTCAGTTTTATTGATTGATAGATCCAGATTCTGGATATTGATCTAGATCTAGATATAGATCAAATATAGATCTAGATCTATCTAAAGTCTAAGTCAGATAAAAGTTTCATTAGGCTTTTCTGATGAGTGGCTAGATTCTAGATCTAATCTAGACTCTAGACTCTAGATCTAGATGTAATTAATTATGGTTGATGGATAGGCATGTGTCGTGACCCTGGCAGTGATTCTCAACCGTAAGTATGGTGAGGAGGCCCTGAGGCCCCACATTACTATTGTTTTGGGATCTCCCCCCACCCCTCCCCATAGACTCACTTGACTTTTTCTCTAAAAAGTAAGGCAGCGAAAAAGTAATCCTCTCTGGACTGTCTCACACTCACACTGTTTGCATTAAACTTCAAGCCCCACTGCTGACAGTGTCTGTAAATTTTCACTTTCATTCCTGCAGGTAGATTTACTGCTTTTGGGGTTGGGGAGTAAAAACTGCTGCACCACATCTTGGCCTATATTTTTACGGAATTCTCTGCACAGTTGAGAACAATGGCTAATGGCCATGTCAAGCGCCATTTGCCAATCAGCGCGATCTTAAGATGGCGCAGAACCATATGACGATCCTCAGAAAGCGCGGCCATCTCGAGATGGGCGCGACGCGCCATCACACACAAATGATTTTGCAAAGTTTAAAATTAATCATAATTAAGACCAATATGATGCAGTCAAAATATTAGACAAGTGACACTTGCGTCCTCCTGATTCTTTTTTGTTTTAAATATTTAGAATTATTCATAATAAATTCTGTGGAGGTTTATTTGTGAACTTTGCAAAATCATTTGTTTGTTTGTGTGTGTGTGTGCGTATGTGTGTATGTTGTTTTAGCGTGTGTATGTGTGGTGTGAAATGACTTTTATCTATCTTGGGTATTTACAAAAACCTCTCTCTCTCTCTCTCTCTCTCTCTCTCTCTCTCTCTCTTTCTCTCTTTCTCTCTCTCTCTTTCTTTGCCACTCTCGCCTCCTTGTGTGTATATATAATAATAATATGTTGTATTGTTTGTGTGTTTCCAAGCGATCGGCAGATGGCGCAATTCTTGCTTGCTTTGCACAATCTTAAGATCGCGCAGCTTTATTCATTTTCGGAAATAATCTGTAGATGGCTGCACTTTCTGCGGATCGTCATATGGTTCTGCGCCATCTTAAGATCACACTGATCAGCAAATGGCGCTTGACAGCCACTCGGAAGTCTTACAAATCAGCTCTGTTCAAGAAAATCTCTAGATCTACTTTTAATTGAAATTGCAAAACATGAAAATGTATGGTTTCGAAAAATTAATAATACAGGAGGAGCATTTTATAACCTGCTGGCTACTTGTCAGTAAGGACATGGTTGACTGGATGAGGATGGAACCTTTGTTGCTCTGTGATGAGTGAGAATTTATTGTGATCAATCTGTTGTGATCTCACACAAAGTTGTTTCTGAATTGACTTTGTCTGAAGAATTTGAATGAACCTTTATCATACTTTATGACGTTAAATTTGATACAAGATGACAAAAATGTAATGCTGCATTGATAAAAATATTGTTTTGACTCTCCCAACCCACTGAATAGCTGTGGAGCCATCTTACAAGATGTTGATTCATCCACTTCTCAGTCGTAGTATTCTAACTTATTGTAAATATTTCTGATTTTGATTTTGACAGGTGACAAAGAATGAATAGGGGTGCAAAGATGTGATCTCAATGGCGGAACCTCAAGATATTCCATTCAATGTGTCACTGCCTCTTCTTGGTGTTGGTGCTTTCACGCTCTTGTTGAGTTTTTGCTTTTGTTGCTATTTGTGGAGGTAAGAAAAAAGCAGTGCTGGTTTAGTTGAAGGTCTACCGCCTTACAATGGTCTAGTCTACGGTAAGTCCTTCCCAAGTGACCAAGGTCTACTCTGATCGAGATAGTCTATTGTAGCAAAAGTACTGCCTGATTCTACGTGGTAAAGACAGCGCTGGAGCAGGGGTGAAGGGTCTACTTAATTAAATATCACTGTTCTTCCCTCCTGTAATTTGGGAACATCGTCACTGTCAAATACAATCATAGACGTAGGCCCTCTAAATTTAGATAATTTAAAGCTGTGTGCACAACACTCAAAAATGTTATACAACATAAATACCCTTTTCACCTATTTTGGGCCACTCATTTATAAACAGTCTCAAGCCCTGATTATATAAACTAAGACTTGGATAGGTAGAGTCTACCTAAAAAAGGTGAGGGGGGCTAACTTCTAACCTCGTGGCTGCTGTGAATGCTTGTTATTGTTGTTGTTTTTCCTCAACTTTTTACCACACTCTTTTATCAGGTCATAACATGATTTCCTGGTCACGAAAAGCTAGACTACGACACCCAAATTTTAAACCAAATTGGTAAATATTTGTTGCAATGTCATCTCTGCTTCTTTGCCTTCTGTTTGTGTATTCACATCTTTAGTTAAATTTACTCCTGAAAAATCTTGAGCCCACAGAGTGCGTAAACGTTATATAGTTACATTTTGCCTAAAGTGGAAATAGAATTATTTCATGAGATATTTTCTCGATTATTTTGGCGGTTGAACATACACTCTATGAAATTAGGATTTGTTTTCATTCATGACTTGGTGATGCTGCTTCGAATAAGAAGTTTTGTTAATTAATTATGTTCCTTTTACAATGGTAAAGTTTTTTGTGTGTAGCCTCATTTCTAAACTCGCACTAAAAGTCAAGGAAAAAAAATTCAAAGAAAGATAACTAACAAACAGTTTAACGGAATTTATTCATTTTTTCAAAAAAGATGCTTTCGACTGTCTAGTTTAAGTGCGTACAATTTCAGATTTCAATAATAAAGAGAAGTTCATGTAAAAGGAGTTTAATTGAAATCACACTGGTTGGATTTCAAAAGTCTGAACCGTTAAAGAGTTCTTCATGAACATTGTCAATAGTGGGTGTAGTTTCCCAGTTTCATCGAACAATTGGTACAGCACTGACGCAAGGACAGGACATGCCTTTGGAGAACTTGTTGTGATAGGTTCTGCCACTCCTGGACGAGGTAGCCCAAGTGTTGTTGAAGGTTTTGTACAGGAGGATGGCTGTCCCTTATCCGCCGGTCAGTGTAATCCCAAATTATCTCGATTGGGCTCAAATCCAGACTGCAAGCTGACCAGTCCATGCAGGTGACACCTCGCTGCTACAGGAAGTCCCCCAGGATGCGTGCGCGATGTAGTGTGACATTGTCATCCTGCAGAGCAGTCTGGGATCCAATCTGTTGCAGGAGAGGAACAGCAAGGGAACTCAGGATTTCACCCCTGTATCTTGCCGTGGTCAAATTGCCCTGTACCCCTGTACATGGTACAGGGGGGGTCCTGTGGTGAGCTGAGAAATCTCCCCACTCCAGAACGGACCCTCCACCGTAGGGCGCCACCTGCTGGATGCAGTCAGGGTGGAACTGCTCTCACCGGCGCCTCCAGACTTAGGTTCGCCTGTTTGGGTGCAGCTGGTTGAATCTGGATTTGTCCGAGAAGACTACCTCATCCCACTGACGTTCTGTCCTCTGTGAATGGTGAGTAGACCATGCCCGGCTAGCTGCTTTGTGGGACGGCGTGTGCGTTTGGCGCCTGGCAGGGACTTGAGGAGCGAACCAGGCTCTACGGAGACGGTTCCTCACAGTCTCTTCGCTCATTGGATGTCACGCGTAGTTGGCCCATGATGTGGTTTGCAGTGGTGGTTCGTGACGTCAAGGTCTGCCATCGTTCTTGCAGCCTCCTTATGACTGACGGAGACACCCAAGTCGATGTGCAACGACTCAGAACGTGGAGCCATCTTGGATCCAGGCAGAGGCTCGTCCTCTGTCGACCTCAGGCAGCGAAAGTCATTGGACCATCGTGTTGTAGTGAAAGATGGCTGAAAAACGCTGGCTTATAAAGGGTTGCAAGTGAGCGAGATTCACAGCCAAGACATCTATTTAGCATGTGCCAAGCTCAGTTTTAACCACCAGTCCCTATGCCAATCTTGCTGAGGCAGGAAAATTTAGCCCATTTTTCATACTTTTCGGCTGTGTTTCAGTATGCCCTGCACCGTCACTGTGAAGCTCGTGCTTTCAAATTTACTGTACAGGCAAACTGTGTCTCGTCGTCAGTGTGTGTGCCAAGTTTGGTTGACTCAGCTTAACAGATTTGTGAAATATTGAAGTTTGAATTTGACAGGTGAAAACACAAGGTGTTCCTTGACTTTTTTGTGCTAGTTTAACTGGTTCTTTGTCTCACTTTGATTACCCTTTCAAACAAGTCAGCCTTCAGCCCTGTGTTTGGGGCACTTAGATCTTAGGCAGTAGTGTCACACGATTACCCTGTGTGGATGGTGGATTGCTCATTATTTTGCGGTGTCGTTTAGATCAAAGAAATTTGAGGTAGTAGAGATTATGATTGATAAAAGTAATTTATCCTGCATGTGACCTGACAAAACTATTTTCTAAATCGGGGGGGGGGGGGGGGGGGGGGGGGGGGGGGGGGGGGTCCGTATCCCCCACCCCTTCCCCCAGACAAACTACCACCATGGAAAAATATTTAATATGGGAAGTGACAGTCTCAGGCCTGTGTATACATGCAAAGGGAAAAGGTAAACTGATCCTTGTCATAAGTCCCAAGCCTTTATATAAAGTGGTAGGTGTGTTAGTTTAACCAGTTGTGAGCATGGTTCGGCAGTAGACTGAAAATTAAATCAGAAACATCACAGTAGACTTTCAATTAAACCAGCACCAATAAAAATGATGTCAACCTGTTATTATTATTTATTATTATTATTAAATTACCACCATATCAAATTTTGTGATAATAGTTTGTCAAACTTGTAGGTCAGTGGAACACAGAAACTCCCATCACCCCAATCTCTGTTTCCTTCTCCTTCATAAAGAATGACAGTGTGTTATCAGTTCTGGAATTGCATAACTTCTTCTGGTTTCACATGCGCCTGTGTTCTAAAAAAGTTGATTGCCCTGAACTCAGATCAATCGGGCTCTTAAGTGGATTTTTATTTTCAAAACGAGTTATAGAGAAACTGTTAAACATGGGTAAAAGTAGACTTTTAAATGGACCAAGCTTTTAGACTGCTTGATCTTTGACAGAAAGTACTGTATAATTTATGCATTAGTGTGCTTAAATAGATTTCGTACATCTGGGCTATATCCTGACCTAGCCTTGAGTAAATTAGCCTAAATTAGGGTACTGATTGTGGTACCAGAATCACTGTACACCTTGATTGCCTCTGTTTCGATTCAACCTGAATGGTTTTTGATGTTGACATTGATCATGCTTCCCTCCTATCTACTGTCTGTTCTTACAGCCTTGTGAGAAAGAGTGAACCAGAATGATAGCATATGTTGTATTACTTCTTATCACATTATAAAATGGTTTTTCAAAAATTTTCTTTCTTCATTATAATATTATTTGGAAACTTATTCATAGGCCTGTGTCTTAGGTACATACATGAACAAAGTATAACTGGTACAGTGTGAGTGCCTTTTCTAAATTCATTTTTTTGTTAATTCTTGAACAGGTTGAAAAAAAATGCACAGAGGGAGGAGGCGGGCTTTGTCACAGTAAGTTGGAAGGTTTTGTCAAAGCAGCCACTTATGTAAGATCATGTGGGAGTTCACCTTTGTGACCTCACTGATGTTCCAGTTTAGATGAAACTATTTCTTGTTTGAGAGTCTAGCCCTCTTTGTCTTCATAATGAAAGTATTATTGTCAAGTGAAAATAAGTCAAATTTTTACATTTTGTTTATATATATGGATTATGTACGATGTGTGTGTGTGTGTGTTTGCCCTGGTGTGTACGTCTTTGTGTTGGAATTATGTATTGGAATGTTGTTTTTTTCTGCCTCAGGTAACATGGAGTGAAAATGAAGAACTGCTAAGAGAATCTTCTAAATTCTAAAGATTTTTATAATTATCTAGTCTTTGGTGGAATGATTGTGGAATGAAATTTATAAAAGTGATTGTCAGCTTTCATGTCTTTTTGAAATTTGAGACAGATTTACTATGAGCTGAATAGATGTGTCTGTTTTTATTTTTTATTTTGACATGTTGAAAAAAAGATGTTATACCATTTGTAATGACCATATATATCGAAAAGAGATTCAGCTCCCATAATATTAATACTTGTTCAAAATGTAGGTTATACTACTAATTAATGAATGCTTTGTATGAAATTTTATGTTAGTTTTTCTCTATCAGTGAGGTCACTAGGCAAGAGCCAACATTTGAGAAAGGAAGACCACAAAGTAGCCAACAAAGAGAGTTAATGGATTATTGTTCAGTCTACTTTGTGGCATTTGATAAAATGGAGTTGGAGAGCTGTCATAGTTATTTATAGAGTACCTTTGTTCTGAAATGCAATCTATGAACAGATTCTCAAAATTCATTTTCACAATTGAACCATGTCCCATTTGTGTTCAGTTGAACTGAAGTGGTGGAGTTATAGTATAATTAAAAGTGTATATTTATCAGTACAAACTGAGCATATGATATCTCATGTTTAAATTAAATTATTTTAATGCATATTTTTTTGGTTTACATTAGTGTTGGAATAATGCACAGGGAAAGGGAAATGTTTAAAAAATGTAGGTCCACCCTCCATGATAAAAAAAAAATGAAACAACCAGGACATACAGCCACTGAAAAATTACTCCAAGAGCTCAGAACTGACCCATTGAGTTAACTTCCATTTAAACATTGCCTATCTAGACTCGGAGCTGGAGGTAGCAAAGTCAAGAGTTGGTTTCTAATGATAGTTTCGTGTAATTTTCTGATGTTTTGAAAGTGCAGTGCTCCTGGCATCTCTCACCCCTGCCTTAAATTAGCATTGGGAGTAGCACCCAAAATACTCAAGGAAAAGGTAAAATATTACCAAGTATGTATATGTGAGGCAGCGTGGTGGAATCAGGCTCTCGTCAATTTTTGGGCATGTAGAGTTATTGGTATCATCTTAAAGCTTGTTCACCTGTCTTTATTTGGATGAAAAAAATATCCAATTAACTTGAATACAAGTCGAGATATTTGCGAATGAAGGAGGAGGGGGTCATCTGTTTTCAGAGGTAAAATTAATGAGAAAATTGCCGCAAAAGATTAGTTATTTCCTTAGCTTAAGAGTACGTGATAACTGAAAATTTTCATTTTTTGTGCCTTTAATCAACGAAAAATGCCAGTTTCTTCACTTTGATTATTTTGACGAGGGCCTGATTCCACCACGCTGCCTCACATATATTTTAAAAATGATAACCCGATTTGTCACATTCCAATTTGTTTTCAGAAAAAATTTAACCCAAGAGGGAGAAATCAAAGAAATGAGGTAGGCTGCATTTGATTTTTTTCCTTAGCTTATGTTACTGTACTTTTTTAAAAAAGTTTTGAACTGGAGCAGTAAACTTTAGATATGAGTATAATGAAAAGTCTTCTATTTCATTGTTAAGCACATACTTTGTCTACCATTGGGCATGGATGGAAATAAGGCTTGGACAAGATTTAGCAGTAACATGCTTCATATGCATGCCTGAAATTATTATTTTGAAACGAAAAGCTCATAAACATGCCTGAAGTTATGATTTTGTAAACAAAAAGCTTGACTTCTCCAACTATAATGTCATGCTCTACATTATTGGAAAAAAGTGCATTTTATTCCCATAGTACGAAATTCAACACTGGTCTTAACTCACCCAGCCGTAATGCAGATAGTATCAGTATGGGTGCGCAATGCTCCAACCGTAACGCCGACAGTATCGGTTTGGAAAATTTTGCTCTCGTGACCGAAAACACTATTCTTGTGTGAAGCTGACTACAGCCTAATTGGAAGAGTAAGCCTCGTTTGAAACAGACTATGACCAGAAGTGCAAGCCTAAATTAAGAACTTAGAAAGCTATATTCGTGAACCATGTGAGGGTGTGCAAAATTTGAATGCGCTTCCTTTCTTCACTTTTTGTTTACTTTTTGACTCTGTATATAGACCTTTTGCCACAGAGTATTGCATAAAAACTATGACGTATTTTGCCTTCAAATTTTCAGTAGGCCTACACACAAATAATATATTTAAATAAAATGTGTACCAAAGTTGGGTAGCATATGTTAAAATGTAGTATTTTTTCAATTTTTCGAAAAGTAGTAAAAATCTCCAGGAAGAGCTGACAACCCGGAAGTGTAGGCCTTGGGTTGAGTGAGCTAATCATTTCACAGTGAGCTCAAGTTGAGTACCCTTGGTTGTCTGATGTGGGAGTCTGATGAATAACCTCTCAGTAGAAGGGATTGAACTCAGCGATGTTAATCTCAAGAGGATTGATTGAATTATGCCCTTTTTTAATGGTTACTTTCTTATCCTGTGGCCATTGTAATACAAGTTTGCTTTTTGTCTATGATTTTTGCTTTTCATGATCGACTTTTGACTTGATGTGAACGAGCAATTGCTACTCATAACAGAAGGTGTCCTGGTAAAAGGGAGGTTCTTAAGAATTGAAAAACATTATGTTCTTATGCTTTACTTGCCCTTATTCTTGTTTTTGTTTTTTTCTCAGACTTGTCCTGTATGTTTAGAAGATTTCATTCCCAAGGAAAAGATTGCTGTGTGTGACTGCAAACATGTGTTCCATTCAAAGTAAGTTGAACAGTTACAATGGGGGTATTCCGAGGCGAGCTTATATCTCACCTCGGGGTGTTCGCATCTCAACGGGAAAAAAGAATTTTTAATTGTACGGCATGCTAGATTGAATTAACTTATATTTTAAGGTTGGCATGTTCTAAAGTCATCAAAGAGAGCTTTGCCATGATTTAGTCACGCTGCCAACATATTCTTAAAGATCCTATGTTGTAATACGATGCTCTAAATAACATGCACTCATCCCGACACCCCTTTTTCGCAAAATCGTAATATGTACACCAAAATATTCATTATAACAAAATAACTACGAAATGGTTAGTAAATCTGATTGCAGAAAGGATTTCTCCTTCCAAAAACACATCGGGTAGCCATGTTTCTGTCTAACACCCCAATTAATTACTGAGATATTGTCGATTTTCTTACAGAGTCTGCTGTTCTGTGGTCCACTGTTTAGGAGTATTTTCCTATATGTGGGTCATCCATATTTTGCTGACCTTTACAGCCCCATAACTTTTTAAATTTATGAATCGATTCTTAAAATTCAAGAAGCATAATTCTTAGAATTGAAAATTTTTTCTTAGGTACCCAATAAAAAAGAACTAAAGCGAAAAATTAAATTTTAATTGACATTGCAACTATAGTTGGGCCAATCACAGAGGTGTGCTAGATGCTCTCTAGGCTATAGTTTCATGTCGCTCAGAAGGCCGTGTTTACGCTACCTAGTACTAGATCAAGCTGACCGGCTCCGGGTGGGCTGAAAAATGCTAGGCACCCGAGGTAGCAGAAATCCCCCACGGGCCAATGGCGTCTGGCTAATCGACCCAATTCGTTCGAATAACAAAACGCTAGCCACCCCAGATCGGGCAGCAAGCACCGGCCAAAAAGAAAAACGACAAAATAAACATATAATCCTCAGTGTTTCTTTGGGGTGCTGAGGATTTTCCCATTGAATTTCTATTGTAGCGAGGTGTTTTTGCTTCCTGGCATGCATCTAGACTAGTATGTTTTTAAAGTTTACATAAAGATAAACTTGTGAACTGTTTCTATATGAAATGAAAATGTTGGTTCAAATTCAAGACATCTTGAATCATGGTTCTAAGGACTGGGTTAGTTCACCTGTGAGAGGGGGTATATTAGAACATTGTATAATTTCCTTTAAACTCTTTTGAAGGTTTCTTATTTTATCTTTACCAATGTATAGTCCTCTTTCAGAACTAATTAAGTTATATTGATTAAAATCTTGAGGAGTGCTCATCAAGTGTGTTATTCTTAGGCCTACTGTTGGTTTCAATAGGTATTGACTTGTGTCTCTTCATAAGTGAGATTTGGTTCTTTCAAGGATACTTTCCAACAAGTAGTGAGGAGTAATGCTTATGCCATCTATATATATGTAACTTTCTCACTTGCTCTACTCTTTATTAATTTTCAAACGGGTCATTAGTTTTATCTTTCATATTGATTTTAATTTTTCTGTTGAATTTTTTATATATGGAATATATTTTTTTGGTGGTGTCTGGAGTGTGGATTTTCACTGATTTTTTACAAACTTGAATTCGAGCTCAGGAAAAAATTCATTTAAAATATTCTAACTCGTTTGAGAAAAATTCAACGAACGAATTTGTAGATCTAATGGTTGTTAACTTGCATGCAAAAAAACAATTTATTTCCCTGAAAATTAAGTGTGGCATTCATTACGTAAGACATGTCAGTAAATTCCTATATGGCCGCCATAGCCATGGAAATGAAACTTTTTCTCAAATTTGATTGTGGATTTTAAGACTCCTTACTATGCTTGTTATATGTGTGAAATTTAGTAAAATTTGACCCGCTAATAAGTGAGATAGCCTTCAGGTGTAGCCCCCTCCCTTTATAAAAACAGAAAAGGACATTTCTGTTCTTATATTAATGAGGTATATATGTTTAGAGAAAGACTTTTTGGTCAGAACACAATGTTCTGTTTATATGTTCCTGTTGTATTGTAAAGCACTCAGAGCCTTTACTCTTTAAATTGGGGTTGTGCACTATATAAAGGCCAAATATTATTATTATTATTATTTATTTGTTTCATTTGTGAGTTATCAAAACCTATCACTATCTAGCTGTATACTAATGTGTTTGTGACTCACATTTTTTTTATTGCAGGTGTTTACTGCAATGGCTAGAACATAGAAACAACTGCCCGTTGTGTAAAGCACCTGTTCGTAATTCCGCAAGGGAAAACACAGGTCTGATAAGACCAACTGTTGCTTCCGGCTCTTCCACTGTCTAGAGGTCCTGGACCAGAGGGAACGGATGCACAGTGTTATTGTAGATAATTTTGTACATCAGGTTGTCTTATTTGAGATCTTGTACTGTAAAACTTCATGTTGATTTCCTTGATGAACAGTAGCAGTTTACACATCACTCCTTGTTTTTCCAATGCCCTTTGGTTGTAACATGTTTGTGTTCATATGTGAGAACCTGCCAAAGTTGTGAGTACCTTTCTTTGTACATATTGTTTTTATATGTTTTGAATTGTCATTCATCTGTATGGTTTCTATGATCTCATAAAAATGTTTTTATGATAATTCTTACTGTAAAATGTAATCATTTTTAATCACAATACTTTTCCTTATCTTTCAGTCCCTTCTCATTCTATAATGTACCAGCCCCTTGGAGTTCAAATAACCCCCCCCCCCCCCATTACTTTATTCAGCAATATGCTGGATATTGCAAAGTGCAAACAGAAAGGGTACAGTTTATTTAGGACTGAGAAAAAGGTGCTATGGGCTTCAAAGTGACTCAATACTGACATAAATGTATGTGTGTGATTGTGAGAAAAGTTGCTGGGAGGTGCATTTGGTTGTATTGAGATATAGCCGGTGGCTAGACATCTGTATGCTCCTCTATCCTTGACACCCAATGGTTTTATACTGATGTGGTTCACTTTCCTGAGCCTAGTGTCCCTTGAAGTTGCCTTCCAGGGCAGTTTTGAAGGCGCTTTTAAGTACTGATACTGGACAAAGTTTCTTCAATTTCGTTGAGGGATTAGTTCATTTTCCATTTCGCTGAAGCAACTTTTCTCAGTCAGCCTGTTATTTGCAGACTTGCAAGTATTTTTGATGTACAACATAACAGATGGAACAAAACAAGTTTTTTTCCCCCTCTTTCTGAGGTGAAAATACCTTTAGTTCTTTTATCCAGCCCTCATGAGAAATCCCAAGTTTTCTCTGTGCTTGCAAGAACTGAGAGTCCTGTAACTTGAGTAAGATGCAACCAATTCATATAGTTGTCTTGTGATCACTTTGCTTCACAATAATAATAATCATAATCATATTCATAATCATAATATAGTTATAACAATAATAATAAATTAAATTTAAATAGTGCATTTCCACAAAGAAAGTGCCCAGTTTGTTTTACAATTGCATTAAGAAGATAGTTCCGACAGTAATACTTCACAACCGGAGTCATGTTTATGAGATTATGTATGTTCCGGTGTCACAATATTGATGCACTTGAAGTTGATGTGTGATTTTGACATGGGAATCTGCCATATTTTGTCACTGTTTTTCATGGTACGTCAGAGTCTGAAACAGCGAAAACATGAAGTCGGATGTCTCATTTTGACTTGGGATGTCCTTTTTTTCGAACAATTTTATTGAGTGACAAACGCAAAGAGAGTGGCTTTCAAGTGATATGAGTCATGATACAACTTTGATAGCTGTTTTGTCGAAAAGTAGTCTCTTCACCTCTGTAAAATTAGAATTATAGCCATTCTGAAATCTATATGTAACAATACAGGAACAAGAGTGGTAAAACTTTAAGATCACTCACCCTTATTGTTATCATGTATACTCTCTGTTACATTGCTTAACTTTGCTCAACAGTAGTTGTATTAGACATTTCTGTAACCAATACCACATTGTCCTGCTGATTGTGGTGTTCCTTCTTGCCTGCTAACAATCTTAATCATGTTGCTTATGTTATTTTTATATATTTGTGTTACAACGTGGTGGAATCAGTCGTTCATCACTTTTAGGAAATGTGGAGTTATTGGTATCATCTTAAGCTTCTTCATTTTCTTGCTTTTAGTGAAAGAAAAGATACCCATCATCTTGAACAAAAGTTGAGATATTCGCAATTAAAAAAGATGTGGGTCGCCCAGTTTCAGAGCTACAATTAGAGAAATAGCGGTCGCCAAAGTTTGGTGAATTCCATAGCTTGAGAGTCCTTGGAAACTGCAAATTTACTTTTTTTTTTGTCCTTTAAACAGCGTTTTTTTTTTTTAGTAAAATCCATACAGAAATGCATTTTTAAATGGAGATGAAAGGCTTTGAGCCATAAAACAAAAATTCAATGAAAATGGCTAAATGTCGGAAAAATGCTGTTTTCTATAATTTCATTACTTTGACAAGCGCCTGATTTCACCACACACACACACGCACACACACACATACACACACACAACACACACACGCACAGAGTATATATAGATATTTATATATATATATATATATAAATATATATATATATATATATCAATATATATATACACAAACGGCCACTATCCATTTCCCCCCTTGCGTTTTTTCTATATAATTTAACCGTGTAAAACGGGCACCTGTCCAATGCGGCTGCGGCCACGTTATTTGAACACACAACCCCTATCACACTAAGCAATAACACCTGTCTTAGACGGCCACTTTAGTGACTCCATTACGTTTTGTCATAAATTGTGCACTGGCCCCTGACGTTGTGGGTGAGCTGTCATAATCCAATCACTTGTCGTTGTTGTTAGGTAGTCCCTCCAACCGATCATGGTGCGTAGGCCCCTCCCACTGTTGACCAATAGGTACCAATTTTCAGCTGCTGGTGAGGTAAGCATGTGATCCCTCATAACCCATAAGCCCCGCCCAGAACTCATACACAAATCATTCGTGAGATGAGTAGTCACTGTTTACGCAGTCTGTAACAAAGTAACAATGGACGTCAAAATGAACTTGCGACAGAAGCATCGCTCGTTCTCCGAGTGGTGGCGACTCATGTGTTTGTTTTAACATGGCACTCGGTCTTCCTTGTGTGATGCATTTCGTTTTATTGTCACCCTTGCGCAAAATCAGCAACAAAATAAAAATAACAAACAAAATACAAACCAGCAACAACAACAAAAACAACAACAGTGCGGCTACTTTCGATCGGGACTTCAGATGGGAATGGTTTCTTTTCTTCCTCTTGATCAGTCCTGCCTAAGACAGCCACCTGTCTTATACGGCCACTTTTTTCCTTGACAAAGGGTGGCCGTCTTACACAGATTTGACTGTGTGTATATATATAATATATGTACAGTCAAATCTGTGTAAAACGGTCACCCATTGTCATGGAGAAAAGGGGCCATATACAGGTGGCCATCTTAAGCAGGACTGATCAAAATGAGGAAAACAAACTCTTCCGAGGTCCAAACTGGGGCTGATCTCGGGCTTTAGACTGCCATAAGGCTAATTCAAAGGGGGTTTTGTTTTGTTTTTTAAAGGGGGGTGGGTGATGTAAGAAAGGTGTTTTGTGTTGTTGCTTTGTTGGTTTGTTGTTTTTTTATGGTTAGCTTTCTTTTCGTTGCTAATTTTGTGCGAGGGTAAAATAAATGAAAAATTATGTAAGTAAGACGATGAAGACCGAGTGCCATTGTAAAACTAGCACACGAGTCGCCACCACTCGGAGAACAAGCGAACCTTCTCACACCATCTGGCCTTTGCTGCAAAGTTGGTTGTTGTTGGTTTATGATGCTGCTGTGTCTTTCTGCAGTAGCTGTTGTCGTGTGAAGGTGACTTGCAGTTTTGGCACCAGAATTTGGTTTTCCTCATCATTGGCTTTGCAGCAGCCTGCAGTACTGATGATGCCAGTGGTAGTGGGTCCCATTAAATCTTTTCCGTGTCCTCAAAGTTTCTGAGGGACACATTGAACTCTGGAAATTTCATAGAGTCATTCTGTGTGATAACTGCCGTGAAGGATTTGAACTCTCCAGGCAAACCTTTCAGGACCATGGCAATCAGGAGACTGTCACTGATAGTCTCACCTGCATCTTGAAGTGCCGCTGCCGTGGTCTCCGCTCTTATGATGTAGTCAGTGACGGATTCTTTCTCTGACTTCTGAAGAGAAGTGAGCTACGTGTAGAGGGTTATCACCCTCGGTTTTCCTGTGGGCTTGTCATGAGCCCTCAAAACCTGTAGACTTTCTCCCATCATCCCTGGCATCCTGAATGATCAGGGAGAGGGATCTGTCGTCCAAGACCTGAAATATCTCAGTGAAAACTTTACTGTTCTTCACAGCGTCCACTTGCCGGTCTTCATCTAGTCCAGTTAGGATGTCATCTAAGCCTTGAAATTTCAGTAAGCCTAGGAATTTTACCTCCCACAGTTCATATTATCTCTCATCACCATCGAAAAACAATCTTGTCCTTATGCTGGCGCTGGGTCCATAACCTGTTGAGTTCATAATTGGACTGATGGTGGTAGAACTTAAGTAAACAGAGGAAATAATGAAATAAAGGAAGAATGCGAGTCTGCTCATAGAAAAGCACACTTTATTCTTTGCTCTAACAGTACGACATGAGGGAGGAAGTAGGTCTGTAAAAAACAAAAGCTTTATGGGTAATTGGGATAATTGTTCACGGGAAATAACTAAAACCATCAGTGGGTTTCTATTACAAGACACTGGATAGGATTACGTCCCTGTAGTTACTCGACAATGTAGGATATTGTTAAGGTCATGATGTAGGATTCACCAATGGCATATTATACGGTAGGTTAATATGATTCTAACAAACGTCAAAGTCCATTTTTACTTTGTTATAGATTAGGTAAACAAAATAGTAACCAGTCACCTCTCACACAATTTGTGCATGAGTTGTGGACGGGGCTTATAGGTTATGACAGATCACGCTACCCTCACCAGTAGTTGAAAATTTATTGTTAGGCCTACCCATTGGTCAACTTGGGTAAACATTCATTGGAGGGACTAAGAATAACGACAGGTGAATGAATTATGACGGCCCGTCCACAGCATGAGGGGCCGATTCAAAATTTTTGATAAAGCGTTGGGCAATGAGTGACGTTATACTTATGTGTGAATGATGTAGAATGGTCTCTGGCTATATCAGGACTGTGGTATCCCTGTTATAGTTATAGCCGAACCCTGCTGTAAATGGGGATAACGTTTACGTACACTATAACTAATGGTGAACCGATCGGATCACTTTTATTACATAGATTACCCACTTCCAACTCCTCAGTTAGTGCTACTTTTTTTTAGTGACATTTTTTTCTCCTCGTCTTTATCTTCCTTTTCGCAGTTCGATCTTTGTCTCATGGAAGGTGCCTAGACATAATTAGAGATGCATGGTTAATATCTATTATACTACTACTACTACTACTACTACTAATAATAATAATGTTTTCATTTATATGCACATATGACCTTTTGCCAATAGGTGGGTACCTAAAATGTAGCATAGAGGGTTGATGATAAAGTTTTTAATATTTCGGTTTTACTTGAATTTTTCTATTCATGTATATCTCCTCCTACAAAAACATGTATTGACTGACCTACAGATTGCGTACTAAGCTGTGTCTGGCGTTACATAACATCAAGTCAAATTCTTTCCAACATAACTATGGTGACACGTTTTTTTAGAATTTGAACATACAAAGCTATTTAACATTTTTCATATTGCTTTAATTTTCAAACATAAGGATGAAGAGTATATAAGATGGTGAGGATCATAGGAAAAAGAAATTCTGAATGCCATTGTGTTTGCATTTGTGTCATAGTTATGTCTGAAAGAAATGAAAAGCTTTCCGTTTTTATATATGTCTTAATTTCTTTTGTGAAAATTTGGGCAAACAACAATTCAGAAGATTCAATTTGACTCACAATGGATGTTAATGATGAAAAAATGCCACTTTATTCACGTTTTACTATGATCTCTGCAAAATATCAAATATATTTCGAACATAACCATGATGACACAAAATGAACTATACCCTGAAAAGTAATTTACTTACATAAAATTATTTTAATAGTTTTCTCATTACTTTAATTTTCTCACATAAACATGAACAGCATAGGCCTATATAAATTCACAGAAAAAAGGAATTCTGAATGTTTTTGTGTTCGTATTTATGTCATCATAGTTATGTCCAAAAGAAATGAAAGACCTTTCCATTTTCACATTTTAATTCATTTTTTTGAAAATTTTGGCAAGCAAAGATTCAGGAGATTCAGTTTGACTCATAATGCATGCTAATTGTGAAAAAATGCCGCTTAATTCTCATTTTACTATGACTCTATGCAAAATACCTAATATC